CAAATCCACAGAAGGGTTAATACTGAGCAGCAATTATGCAAATGGGAACCTCGTAACGCCTTTAGGCAAAGAGGATGATGCCTCTACTGCCCTGATGCACATCAGACAAGGGAACCGGTCTATCTCGGAATATGCCATAGAATTTCGTACCCTAGCTTCCGAGGTAGACAGGACTAATAGTGGGTTAATCTCTGCATTTAAAAAGGGATTATCTGAAACTATAACAGATGAGATTGCCGCCAAAGACGTACCCAAAAAGCTTAATGAATTTATCACTTTTGTCATGCAGATTGATAATAGATTAAGAACCAGAGAAGCTACTAGAAACAAGACCAGATGCATGAGTATGCATTTAGCATCCCATTTCTCCAGACCTAATGCCCCTGAAATTCCTGTACAGTCCGAACCCGAACCCATGCAGTTGGAGGTCACTAGACTGTCGGAAGCAGAAAGACAATATAGGATAAAAGAAGGCCTATGTCTATACTGCAGTAGGAAAGGATATATGAGAAACAGTTGTCCCATGCATCCGGAAAACTACTGCACCTGAGCACCTTAAGGGGACAGGTCTTAGGTGTAGTAGTCCTCTGAAAAGAATAAAAATAGGTTTCTCCTTGACATTTCTATCGCCTTTGAAAAAATAACTTTTCATGCAAAGCCCTGATGGATTCAGGTGCTGCTGGAAACTTCATCAACGTTCAATTTGTCAAAGGTAATACTATACCTATCAAAGAGAGACTATCACACCTAGCTGTTAAAGCTATTGATGGGAGACCACTCTCACAACCATTGATAACGCATGAAACCTTACCCATTAATATTTCCATTGGTGCCTTACATAAGGAAGAGATTACATTTCAGGTGATTGCATCTCCTTCTTGTCCTATTATAATAGGATTCCCATGGCTTAGCAAGCATAACCCTCATATTGACTGGGCTAATGGGGAAATATTAGAATGGGGTAAGGATTGTAATAAAAGGTGCATATTGCATGTCACCAAAAGAGTAGGCACTATTGAATTACCCACTAGTACACCTCAAAATCCCGAGATCCCTATACAATACCAAGACATTAAAGAAGTATTCAGCAAGACTCAGTCTAATACTCTATCTCCTCACAGACCATATAACTGTTCCATTAACTTAATACCAGGTGCTATGCCACCTAAGGGAGCAGTCTATGCTCTATCTCCTCAGGAGAGTAGTGTAATGGAGGAATATATTAAATATTCATTGAAAAAGGCCATATATGAAAATCATCCTCGCCTGCTGGTGCAGGATTCTTTTTTGTATCTAAAAAGGATGGTGAGTTGCGCCCATGTATCGATTACAGGGCATTGAACAAAATCACCCTTAAGAACGCCTACCCCATTCCTCTTATTGCTGAATTATTTGACAGACTCCAGGGCGCTAAAGTGTTTACTAAGCTTGACCTTAGAAGTGCTTACAATTTAGTGAGAATCAAGGAAAACCACGAGTGGAAGACTGCATTTAATACCAGAAGTGGACACTTGTGATGCCATTCGGTTTGTGCAATGCTCCAGAGGTTTTCCAAGATTTCATTAACGATGTACTCAGGAATTACATTTACTTGTTTGTCTTGGTCTATCTGGATGATATCCTTATTTATTCTCCTGACATTCAGACTCACCACGATCACGTTAGACAAGTTCTGCATACCTTGTTAAAGAATCAACTTTATTGTAAATTAGAAAAATGCATCTATGACCAATCTGAAGTACAGTTTTTGGGATATAATATCTCTGCCTCAGGGCTTCAGATGGATCCTAAAAAGCTGGCATCGGTTCTACAATGGCCTTTAACCACTGGGTTGAAAGCCATTCAAAGGTTCATTGGTTTCGCCAATTATTACAGAAGATTTAAAAAGGGATTTTCTTCAGTAATAGCCCCCATCACCAATATGACACGCAAGAGGACTAGTAGTACGATATGGTCTAAGGAGGCAATTAAAGCCTTTGAAACTCTCAAACAGTGGTTTGCCTCTGCCGACATATTGATATATCCTGACTCCAGTAAGCCTTTCATACTGGAGGTTGATGCTTCAGAGACAAGGGTAGGGGCAGTTCTCTCCCAGAGGGAGAGCCAGCCAGGAAACTGTTACATCCTTGTGGTTACTTTTTCTAGAATGTTGTCTCCTGCTGAGCGCAATTACAATATTGGCCATAGAGAATTGTTGGCCATTATTCTAGCTCTCAAGGAGTGGCGACATCTTTTAGAGGGTTCCAAGGACCCCCTTTTGATCATTACTGATCACAAAAACCTGGCTTACATAGGAGATGCTAAGCGATTATCTTCTAGACAAGCTAGGTGGTCTCTATTTCTTTCTCGCTTTAATTTTCTTATCACCTACAGACCTGGTTCTAAAAATGTCAAGGCCAACGCCTTGTCCAGGCAGTTTGATACTGAGGCTATACTAGAGCAAGAAATGTCCCATATCATTCCCCCAGAATGTATTATTGCGTCCACTGTCCTTTCATTGTCCTCTCCACTGCGTAAACCTCAGGACAAACTGTTCGTTCCATTGGGGGAAAGGGTTAATATCATGAAGGTGTTTCACGACAATGTGTCTGCTGGTCACCCAGGTATTAATAAATCCACTTCTGCTATCATGAGGTCATTGTGGTGGGATTCCCTCAGTAAGGATGTTAAGAAATAAATGCCGACTTGTTCTGTTTGTGCGGTTTCCAAAGTGCCTCATAAACTCCGTTGTGGCTTGTTACAACCTCTTTCTATTCCTGAGGTCCCATGGTCCCACTTGTCCATGGACTTCATTGTTGAACTTCCTTTTTCTAATGGTTATACCACCATTCTCATGGTTGTGGACCGTTTTTTTTAAAATGGCTAATTTTATTCCTCTCAAGAAATTACCGTCATCTCAAGACCTGGTGCTGATCTTTATACGTGAGATTGTCCGTCTGCATGGCATTCCTCACAATATTGTATCTGATAGAGGTTCTCAGTTTGTATCCTGGTTTTGGAGGGCTTTTAATAAGCAATTGGGGATTGAATTGTCTTTTTCATCCTCTTACCACCCCCAGACTAATGATACAGCTGAGAGGGCTAACCAGTCTTTGGAGTTATACTTGCGTTGTTTTGTTAATAGCACTCAAGACAATTGGTCTGAATTATTACCATGGGCTGAGTTTTCTAGGAACAATGATGACCATGATTCCTCTGGGCATAGTCCATTTTTTACTGTCCCACCGGCTGTTTTTTCTGATACGGCTATTCCTGCTTTGGATGACCGTCTGGCTTCCATCCGTGACACCTGGGTGAAAGTTCAATCTGCTCTGGGTACTGCTGCTGACTGTTTCAAGCATTATGCTGATACACGTCGAGGTGCCAACCCTGTTTATCAAGTGGGTGAGAGGGTTTGGTTATCTTCTCGTAACATCAGGCTCAAAGTCCCTAGCATGAAATTTGCTCCTAGGTTCCTTGGACCTTTTCGTGCCCTTGGTAGGATCAATCCTGTTGCGTACTCTCTGGCTCTTCCAGCCTCCTTGAAAATTCCTAATACCTTTCATGTGTCCTTGCTCAAACCTCTTGTTTGCAATAAATATACTCCTCCCTTAGTTGTTTCTGGACAGGAAAAGTATGAGGTCTCCTCCATAATTGATTCCAGATTTTTTTCGGGGTACTTTATAGTACTTGGTGGATTGGAAAGGTTATGGACCAGCCGATCGTTCTTGGGCTCCGGCATCTGATATACATGCTGGCCGCAAGATTCGCTATTTTCATGCCAAATTTCCTCTCAAGCCTGGTCCTGCTCGCTCGGTGGGCGTTCTTCAGGTGGGGGGTAATGTCACGTATTCATCCGCTTATAAAAATGTAGTTAATGGCATTTACTGTCCACACATGAAAAGTTGTGCCGAGCAGCAAACAAATCCACAGAAGGGTTAATGCTGAGCAGCAATTATGCAAATGAGCTAAAGGCCGGTTACAGCCTATCAGATCTAGAGGAGGGGTATTTTGGCCCCGTTCCCATCCTGCTCAGTGCCCTGTTGTGGCTTCCCTTGTTGTTGTCCGAGAGCGCGTTATTGATTCTGGTTATTCTGGTTTTATGACTTTGGCATTGTTTTTGACTTCCCTGTTTTCTGGCATCCCTGACTCCTGGCTTTTCCTTATTGTTGTGTCTCTTTCTGTTTCCCTTGACCTTGGCTATTCCTGACTATTCTTTGGTACGTTAGTCCGGCCATTCTAAGGTCCGGTATACATTACCTATCAGTCCTCTGTGTTACACAATTCCACGTGCTGGATCATTCTGTAATCCTGACATGAGGACTATGAAAAGTGGGGGACAGTAAAATGTAGCCCATGGACCACCGTAGCTAAGGGGAGTGGGCCTTGACATTGCCAGGAGACAGGCATCTAAGGGTCAGTGGTTAGGGACTGGTTTAAGGAAATGGAGTGGGGTGGAGTTATAAGGGGAGTATAAGTAGTGTCCATTTTAGATCTAAGGATCACTTTAATTAAAGTTGCACTTACCTGTTGTTGTGGCAGGATTTGTGTGGCTTTTTCTTTTGTCTCCTCTGCAGGTTGTCAGCAAGATGGAAGATTGGCTGGAAGTCCGGGCAGCAGTGCAGGAGAGGGGTGTCGAGTGGCTGAGGGATCGCCTTGGAGATGCTTTGCCGTCCGGATCAGGAAGCTCCCTGGGTCAGAGGCCAGTCAGGAGGACAAGGCCACCGCAGAGGTTGAGCCCCAGCGTGGTTCCGGGTTCCCGGTGTCCAAGGAGACCTTCTGGAGGTCCCGATGGTGGCGGTGAGACTACCGATGGGAAGGCCGCAAGTGGAGGAGGTCGCGGGAGGCGTCGCAGTGCAGCCGCACGAACACGTCGTCAGGTGAGGCTGGAGTTGCAGGCTGCTGGTTTGGGAACCGAATCCGAAACTGCTGAATGTTCGGGAGCGAACGTGGAGGTAGGAGAACTGGCGAAAGGTCTGAAACTGCTGAACGTTCGGGAGACGAACGTGGAGGTAGGAGAAATGGCGAAGGGGCTGAAACTGCTGAATGTTCGTGAGACGAACGTGGAGGTACTGAAGCTGCCGACTATTCGTTTTTCGAATGGGGAAGTAAGAAAACTGCCGAACATTCGGGAGTTAAACGGGGAGGTAGCCATACTGTCGGCCATTCGGCTGCCGAACGGGAAGGCAGAAAAACTGCTGAACATTCGGTTTTTGTGTCCTCTATTACAGGGAATGAAGGAGAAGTGTCTGCTGGTGACAGGAGTTCGGGAAAGCGGCCATTACAGGCAGGGTCCAGCGGAAAAAGGAGGAGCGGTACGGCAGGCTTGGCAGCAGGTCCTGGGAACGCTGGAAGTGCTGTTGGTGGAGCAGGGACAGCTGCGGCCCATCGCCCGGGTGTGTCGACCTCTGACGCTTTTGCCCCTCCAGTTGCTGGGCCACGGGTTACCCCGGTGGTGGGTCCTGGTGTTAGCATGGTTGGTGACAGCAGGGTGGCAGGGGGCAGGCGGGGGACTGCTAGAGCACGGAGTGGACTAGAAGGGTATAACGATACACAATGTCCCAGAGTCTCCCCAGTCAGCGTGCGGGAGCGCAGCACTTCACCAGGGTCTCCCATACGTCCGGGAATGACAACGGGTGGGTCAGGTCGTCAGGGAAGGATCGGAAGGGCAGAGGGTCAGCACCCTCCAAGAGGATAGCGCGCAGGGCTCAAGCAAAGGGCACACAGGGTGCAAGGAGGCACCGGTCACATAGCAGCCATCGGAGGGTGACTGACGTAGACGACAGGGTTCCCTGTGGGGCAGATCACACCCGGGGACGGAGTAGGGTGTCCCCTGTCAGGACACGTGGCTGGAGGCAGCGGGAAGAAAAATTCCATGAGCGGGAGTTCCCGGGAGAGAGACAGGGCTCGGGCAGCTGCGCAGGCTCGTGGCTCTCAGGGACTGATGGGTTACAGTTCCCAGGAGTAGAGGGGACGGGGCAGGGTTTCCACAACCAGCATACCCAGGATGTCTTCTCCTTGCAGGTCTCAAAGATGGTCACCCTCGGTGAGGGAGAGATCCCACGCGTTGAGGACATCAGGACGGTCGCCAGCAGGCAAGGTGGACCCGGTTGCCAGACAGGCGTCTTCAGGGTCGCCCGCAGATCGGGTGAGACCCAGCGCTGCGTGAATACGGCCCCGAGCATGGGCAGGACATCCATAGTCGGTCGGCAACCCCACGGCCTTTGGTGGCAAGGGGTGCGGAAGGTGAGACATTGTCTTTGCAGCAGTCAGGGGAGCTTTTAGATGGCATCAAGCAGTTAATTGATTCTTGGGGTGTAGGGAAAAGGACTGATGAGGATTGCAGTTAGGTATGGGCTCAGCTGGGGGAGGTCACTGTCAAGTCCAGGGGTGGTTTCGGGGGACAGGGACAGCACGGTTGTGGAAGGGGGTACGACCCCCGCGGTAGAGGCGCTCAGATTGGCGAGCGAGAGGGACAATTTACTTGGGGGTGTCCCGGAGGCCGCGCGGCAGAATGTACATGTTTCTTTCGTGGGCCCGTTGGGCTGTCATCTAAAACTAGAGGTGAAGGAGAGGATCTGGAAAGGGGAGTTCGTGGAGCTCTTTTCACTTCTCCCCCTTGAGAAGGAGGATAAAAAGGATTCTAAGAAGGAGGAGGAGGAAAACGGCGGTATAGGAAGATCCCTAAGACGTTTGGGAATTGGTTGAGGGCGTTCTGCATCTTGGCCAGTGTGATGGGCGAAAAGGCGGCGGAGTGCTGTTCACAGCTCTTTTGTTACCTGGATGGCATTTGGGAAGTGTATCGCACTTACGGGTGTCTGGCATGGTGGCGATATGACAAGCAGTTTCGTCAGCGCCTGCCGGCTAATCCGGGGATGCGGTGGGACCAAACAGACCTACCACTCTGGATAAAACTTATGATGGCGCAGAAGGCGTCTCCCTTTCAGCCGGGGGCCGGCACGGGCGCTTCCACCGCCATGTCAGCCAACCAAAAACGGGGCTACATAACAAGGGACAGTGCAAATGGGGGGCCATGTGTCGCTTCAAGCACGAGTGCTCCGGGTGTGGAGGCACCCACAGACTACACAGGTGCTTTAACAAAGGTAAGACAGCTCCCGCAAGGGGGGTGCCTGGAGGTTCGGCCACGTCCCCTGCAACTGTGGGCAGCGCCAGTGAAGGTCGGCGCGATGCTACCGTGGCTAAGCCGCTACGCTAACTGGGAGGATACTAAAGGGTTCATGATCCCATTTTGGGATCGGGTGGTGGTTCATCGTCTTCGCAACTTGAAGTCGGTGGGGGAATTTCCGGGGGTGGTTGGGTTGGGTGGTGGTGGGACCGTTGAGGGAGCCCCCTCTACCTAACTTGAGGGTATCACCGCAGGGGGTGGTACCCAAGAAGGAGCCAGATAAGTACTGCTTGATACATCACCTGTCCTACCCCAACAGGTCGTCGGTCAACGACGACATTGACAAGGCCCTTTGTTCGGTGTCGTACGCTTCTTTCGACCAGGCGGTGAATCTGGTGCAATGGGCAGGCCGTGGGGCATTGTTGGCAAAGGCGGACGTGGAGGCGGCTTTTCACTTTTTGCCAATTCACCCGAAGTGCCATCACTTGCTGGGATGTTACTTTGATGGTGAGTTTTACATGGATCTGTGCTTGCCCATGGGGTGCTCTATATCGTGCGCGTACTTCAAAATTTTTTGCACGTTTCTGGAATGGGTGGTGAAACTGGAAGCGAGCACTAACATGGTGGTTCATTATCTGGATGATTTCCTATGTATCGGGCCTCCTGGATCGGAGGAATGCCGCATGGGACTGAGGACATTGGAATGGGTGGTGCACGTTTTTGGAGTCCCCTTGCTTGAGTTTCTTGGGCTTGGAGATAGATTTGATCAAAGGGGAGTGTAGGCTGCCACAGGATAAGTTGCTGGCACTCCAGAAGGCAGTGGCGGAGGTGTGGGGAGCTAAGAAAGTCTCGCTCTGGGCGCTTCAGTCACTGCTGGGTCGGCTAAACTTCGCCTGTCGGGTGATTCCGGTCGGGAGAGTCTTTAACAGGTTCCTAGCTAGGGCGACGGGGGGGGGGGGCGGGTGTTCCCGCACCACCTTATTCGGGTCTCAGCGGCTATGAAGGCCGATCTGGATGTCTGGGGGGAATTCTTACGGGAGTTTAATGGGAAGGTGTTCTTTTGGGAGCCGGCGGCGTCTTCCCCGGATCTGGAGCTGTTTACAGATGCGTCGGGGAGTATCGGTTTCGGGGCTTACTTCTCGGGTCAATGGTGTGCGGGAACTTGGCCAGCGGTGTAGAAGGCCAGCCCGCTGATCCGCAACTTGTCATTCTTGGAGTTGTTCCCGTTAGTCGTAGCACTGTCCCTATGGGGCCCACCGTTGAGGGATAAGAAGGTTGTATTATTTTCGGACAATATGGCGGTGGTAGATGCAGTAAATGGGCTTTCAGCATCCGCTATCCCGATGGTGCGGCTTCTTCGCTGTTTTGTCTTGTTCTATATGCATTTTAATATTGTTTTTCGGGCATGCCACGTGCCTGGTCTGTTGAATGTTATTGCTGATGCGTTATCTCGTTTGCAGTGGGAGAGGTTCCGGCAGGTGGCGCCTGGCGCACGGACGGAAGGGATGTCTTGCCCGGACGAGATGTGGCGGCTCGGGACATCATGCTTGGCGGACTGATCAGGGACTCCCTGGCACCCGCTACCTGGACGGCGTACAGTAAGGTGTGGGGGGAATGGGACAAGCTGGTGCAGCATACGAGGGGTCAGCTTTTAAAGGAGGCCCAGTTGGACGCGATGTTGTGGCTCTTGTGTAGGTCATTCACCTTAGGGGCCTCGGCAGCGGTAGTCGGGCATAAGCTAGTAGCGTTAGCCTTTTTGTTCAAGTTTAATGGATAGGAGGATGTCACAAAAGATTTTCTCGTTAGGCAGGCATTGAAAGGTTTCAGGCAGGGAAAGGTGTCGGTGGATTCCAGGAGGCCGGTGTCGTTCAAGTTGCTTCAGAGGGTGGTCCAGGTGCTGCCCGTGGTGTGTTTATCAGGGTATGAAGTTACACTGTTCTTCGTGGCTTTTAGTTTTGATTTTTTCGGGGCATTTAATGTTAGCGAGCTGGTCAGCAGCAATCGCCAAGGGGCCAGGGGGCTTCAGGTGGTGGATGTGGAAGTGTGGAGTAACAGGGTAGTGATCAACCTGAGGCGGTCCAAAACGGATGTACTGGGTAAAGGGACGTTGGTAACGTTGTGGGATCTCCCGGGTGGGAAAACGTGCCCTGTTAGGTGCGCAGTGGCCTTCCAGGAGCGGAAGGCCGTGGGTTCATATTTTAAGCATGAGGTCGGCTCTTCACTATTTAAGTTCCAGTTCCTCATCGTTTTTTTCAGAAGGCGTTGGCAAGGTTGGGAGTGGACCCGGGCCAATTCGGGACTCATTCCTTTAGGATTGGTGCAGCTACTGAAGCAGCAAGACTGGGCTTGGGGGATGAGCGGGTGAAGAAGATTGGCAGGTGGGAGTCGGTGAGGTTCAGATCTTACGTCAGGCCAGACAAGTTGGTATAAACTTACAGGTCGGATGGCATGGGTGGTCGGCCACTCATACATATACTGGGCGCATCGGAGAGCTGCAGTTCTACATCGTGGTCTACAGCTGGGCTTTACAAGTTCCGTGGTTCTGCTTCAGTGGTATGGTTACCGGGGTTGGGGTTGGAATGCAATTTGTGTTGAAATGATGTGGGGTGTTACCTCAAAAGGTAATGATTGTGTGTATGAAGAGGGATGTGGAGAAGCTGAGAGAGTTAGTGTCTGGGGTTATGGTCATATGGTCGGAAATGGTTCCGAGATTTTACTGGCGACACGCGCGGAATCCCTCCGCAGTGGCAAAAATGAAGGGAAAGGTCAATAAGGTGATGGCAGCGTATGTGAAGTGGTTGGGAGGGGTTGTAATTCGGCACAGTGAGTTGAAAGACATGCTTCCAGGTTATTATAGGCACGATGGGGTCCTTCTCTCCGAAGTGGGCTTGGACTTTCTATCGTTGGGCTTTCAGGAGGGCCTCCAGAGGGTAATCTTTTGGCTGGGGGAAGCTCTGAGCTATGGCAGGGGATGGAGAGTAAAGTTGGGGGGAGAAAAGAGTGAGATGGGGAAAAAGTTTGGAGTTCAGGGCTAATAGGTAGGCCTTTGGACTGGTTTGGTAGGTTCGAACTCATAGGTAGCTCCGAACCGGGGTGTGTAAGGGTGTCTCGGTATGCCCCTACACTTGTGGTGCCCTTTAGTGGCAATAGATGGTGCCCTTTAGTGGCAATGGTCATGTTTCAATGTTAAGTAAAATGTTACAATGTTGGGTATTATGTTATGTGGGAGTGGGTCATTGTCAGGGGGTTTAAATTGTAAAATACAGGATGGTAATTGTGCAGGCCAACAATGACCTTTATATTTTATGTTAAGAATCAATAAAGCTGTGATATAAATTTTGACAAAACTATGGTGTTAGTGTTTTATTGGAAAATGGGTAATGGTGGGGTTTATGCATATGCCAACAAGGCGACCGTGCACATGTCATGCATCTTCTTCTATGTAGCCTGATGAAGGCAGTGCCCAACTATTCTCTGTGTAATGTTTTAGGGCGCCTATGCATAGCGACCCACAGGGACTCAATTTACAGAAACGTGGCTGGGGTCTCACTGTAGCCACGAGAAAGCCCCCCATCGTTACTTCCTGAATGTAAAGGGGATTTCTGGAGGACATAGTAAATCGTTATCCACTAAGTCCTGCTTTATAAATTATTTTATACATATTTCCTGTTTTATAATAATACTGAAATATGCTTGTTTTTTGATTCTATCCTTGGAAAGTGTTACTGTGTAATCCCTATTTACTATTCTACTAACAGACATTGCTCCCATAACCTGGAATCCTGACCCACAGTGGCTTCTGTTTAATGTATCTTATCTCCTGTGCCATGAGATATGCCGCTTCTAGCTGTGTGGCCCCTGATAGCCATGTAGTTGTGATAACCTGATGATACAATGTTACAGCTCTAGATACAGTGGTTCTAGATGGTTGTTTTATTGTATCAGTCATCAACCAGCTTGGTTTTGGTCCACTAAACGCACACATCCCTGGGGGGGTCATTCAGGCCTTGTTACGTGCAGAGAAGATGAGATTTGGCATGTTTCGATATAGAAGCAAACATTTTAGTTTGACAGTTGCTTTCAAGGAAGAAATCAGATTAAGATAATCTTCTTAAATCGAAACAACTTGAGTTCTCTTTGGCTACACTGGGATTTCCCGTTTGAAGCCGAGAATTGGAAGCAGATTATAGGTTTAAAAATAATAGAAACATAGAAATATAGAATGTGACGGCAGATAAGAACCATTCGGCCCATCTAGTCTGCCCAATTTTCTAAATACTTTCATTAGTCCCTAGTCTTATCTTATAGTTAGGATAGCCTTATGCCTATCCCACGCATGCTTAAACTCCTTTACTGTGTTAACCTCTACCACTTCAGCTGGAAGGCTATTCCATGCATCCACTACCCTCTCAGTAAAGTAATACTTCCTGATATTATTTTTAAACCTTTGTCCCTCTAATTTAAGACTATGTCCTCTTGTTGTGGTACTTTTTCTTCTTTTAAATATAGTCTCCTCCTTTACTGTGTTGATTCCCTTTATATATTTAAATGTTTCTATCATATCCCCCCCTGTCTTGTCTTTCCTCCAAGCTATACATGTTAAGATCCTTTAACCTTTCCTGGTAAGTTTTATCCCGCAATCCATGAACCAGTTTAGTAGCCTTTCTCTGAACCCTATCTAATACCGTTTTTGTTGCATTGTCAGCAGTAGTATGTATCGAATCTTGTATTAACTTAACTGTAGAATGTTTTTAACATTCTTTATCTATCGAGAGTTTATCAAACACAAATAACAGAAAGAAAAACATGAATGGTAACCAGGAGTGAATTATAACAAGACTGTAACAAAGTTTAATTAAAGGGTTACTGTAATCATCAATTAAACCAGCCATGAAAAATGTATATGGGGTCCGAAGATGGACTACCTGACTGACATATGTGATGATATGATGAAATGTTTAATAACATGTGTGATCGTGGGCACAGGGGGAAATAATCGTGAGAAAGCGAGCACAATGGCCAAAACATACATTCTCACCTAACATACAGCTTGCAAGATGCTTTGTAAGCTGTGGATTTGCCATTTGCCCATTCTTTCAGTTCTGTGTCACTGTATTTGAATGTAAGCATGTTTTTGTAAGGAGTGTGTGTGTTTGAATGTAGGGGTGTATTTGTGTGTAGTGTTGGCATTGAATGCAGTTTGCGTTTGTATGTAGTGTTGCTGTCTGAATGTAGAGGTGTATTTGTGTGTAGTTTTGGTATTTGACTGCAGTTTGTGTGCAGTTTTGATGTTTGAATGTAGAGGTGTATTTGTATGTAGTGTTGGTGTTTATTATTTAGGGATTTGTTTGTGTGTAGTGTTGGTGTTGGAATACTTAGATGTATACACATACACTGCCACACACAGAAAAGTACATAAGCAAACATATAGACACATACAGATACACATGCACACATATAAGTTATAATTTCAATATTTTTAGCCACCTTCTTGTTCCCTTTACTTTTGGGTGCAGGAGGGTGGCTTCCCTGCGGTCCAGAGGAACTGCTGGCTGAGGTTGGCTGGTTCACCATCCTCTTGTCCCCCTCTTTATCAACTAAAAAATGAGGAAGTGATAGCCCAAAAATATCAAAACCAACCCCAAAACATTTTTAAGTACATAAATTCTAAAACAAAATAAAAAAAATTCAAGTGTAGGTACACTGAAAACAGAGATGGGCATATTAGTTAATAAGGAAAGACCAGGAAAACGCAGACATTTTAAATAACTATTTCTCCTCGGTATATATTAGGGAGGATCCTATGTCAAAAGATATGCAAATGATTGCTGCAAAAAACTTGCAGAAAAAAATGTGAATGGATGACTTAAGACAAGGCGCTGCAGCAAATAAAGAAAGTTAATATAAACAAAGCTCCAGGGCCTGACAGTATTCATCCATCAGTACTCAAGGAGCTAAGTGTGGAAACAGTGAACCTCGGTTTTTAATCTTTGAAGACTCTTTTCTTTCAGGAAGTGTTCCGGAGGATTGGAGGAAGGCAGATGTGGTTCGTATATTCAAAAAGGGTTCAAAATCTTTGCCTGGAAATTATAGACTTGTGAACTTAATTTCTGTGACTGGGAAAATATTTGAAAGGTTATTAAGTGGTAATATTCAGGAATTCATTGGGAAAAACATTATTAGCAATAATCAGCATGGTTTATGTATCACAGGTCACGTCAAATGAGCCTAATTGCGTTCTACGAATTAGTAAGTAAAAGTTCGGATCAGGATGTTGCAGTGGATGTGATCTACTTGGATTTTGCGGTTCCTCACAATAGGTTAGTCTTCAAACTAAAAGAAATTGGTCTAGAAAATTCTTGTTCTTGGGTAGAAAATTGGTTTAAAATTACAGCACAGAGAGTTGTCATTAAAGGTAAAAATGGTAAGTGATGGGAATTTTTATAGACAGCAAACTAGGCAACAGAGTGTCAATCTGCAGTTGCTAAGGCGAGTAAGGTTGCTAAGGCGAGTAAGGTTTTGTCATGTATAAATAGGGGCAGGATAAAAATATAATTTTGCCTCTTTATAAATCACTGGTAAGACCACATATTGAATATGCTGTGCAATTTTAGGCACCTGTTCTAAAGAAGGATATTATGGCACTAGAAAAAGCGCAGAGACGGGCTACAAAATTCATATTAATAAAAGGAATGGAACATATCGGCTATGAAGAAAGGTTAACAAATTTAAATCTCTTTAGTTTGGAAAAAACGGCTTCTTAAAGGGCATAAATACATTATACAGATATATTCGGGGCCAATACAAACCATTGTGTGGAAATCTATACACAAACCGGACTTTACATAGGACACGAGGGCATGCGTTTAGACTGGAAGAAAGGAGATAGAGTCTAAGGCAAAGGAAAGATTTTTTAGAGTAAGAACAATAAGGGTATGGAATTCTCTGCCTGAAGAGGTGGTTTTATTAGAGTCCATACAGATGTTTAAACAGCAATTGGATAAATATTTGCAAAAACATAATATTCAGGGATTTCATTTTTTAATTAGTGGGGTACTAACTTCTTCCAAGGAGATATCTCACTGCCATTCTGGGGTCAAGTATGAATTTTTTCCTAGTTTGTTGCAAAGTTAGACTCGGTTTCTTGCCTTCTTTTGGATCAGCAAAAACAATATAAGAAAGGCTGAACTTCATAGACACTTCTCCTTTCAGCTATGTAATAGTTAATATCTAGAATACTTGGCCTGGACTCTAGACTTCTAGCTAGGGATCTGTCATCTCGCTAATCCCAGTAGATCTGCTTATTCTGACGAACACACAAATAATGAAATTCAGCTTTACAATTAACGTTCTTTAAGTTATCAGTCACTGCCCAAAAAGTAAATATTTAACAAAGCCCGGGTAACTTGCCAGTCTGCTATTGTATAAATATAAATATGTCTGGGAAACAGTTCAGTAACTGCCGAAAAAGAAAAGTGAGGTAAGTTCTCTTTTGCAGGCAAATCTGTTTGATGATAGATAGATAGATAGATAGATAGATAGATAGATAGAAAGATAGATAGATGCTACAGAGAGTAATAGATAAAGAGATGGATGGAAACAAAAAGAGATAAAGAGATTGATGGAGCGATGGATGGATAACGTGAGATAAAGAGATGGATGGATACAGAGAGATAAAGAGATGGATGGATAGATACAGAGAGAGATGAATGGATGGATGGATACAGAGAAAGATAAAGACATGGGTGATCGATACATAGAGATAAAGAGATGGATGGGTACAGAGAGAGATAAAGGGATAGATGGATAGATACAGAGAGATAAAGAGATAGATGATGGATACAGAGAGATAAAGAGATAGATGATGGATACAGAGAGATAAAGAGATGGATGGATGGATAGATTGATACACAGAGAAAAAAGAGATGGATGGATGGATACAGAGAGAGATAAAGAGATGGATGATGGGTACAGAGAGAGATAAAGAGATGGATGGATGGATGGATACAAAGAGAGATAAAGAGATGGATGATGGGTACAGAGAGAGATAAAGAGATGGATGGATGGATACAGAAACATAAAGAGATAGATGATGGATGGATATAGAGAGATAAAGAGATGGATGGATACAGAGAGATAAAGAGATGGAAGGATGGATGGATGAATGGATGGATACAGAGAGATAAAGAGATGGAAGGATGGATGAATGGATACAGAGAGAGATAAAGAGATGGATGAATGGATCAATGGATGGATGTATACAGAGAGAGATAAAGAGATAGATGATGGATGGATACAGAGAGATAAAGAGGTAGATGAGTGATGGATACAGAGAGATAACAAAATTGGATGGATGGATACAGAGAGATAAAGAGATGGATGATGGATGGATACAGAGAGATAATGAGATGGAAGGATGGATGAATGGATGGATGGATACAGAGAGAGATAAAGAGATAGATGATGGATGGATACAGAGAGAGATAAAGAGATAGATGATGTATGGATACAGAGAGATAAACAGATGGAAGGATGGATGAATTGATGGATGGATAAATAGATAGATGGATGGATACAGAGAGTTAAAAAGATTGATGATGCATACAGAGAGAGATAATGAGATGGGTGGATGAATGGATGGATAAATGGATACAGAGAGATAAAGAGATGGAAGGATGGATGAATGGATGGTTACAGAGAGAGCTAAAGAGATGGATGGATGGGTACATAGAGAGCTAAAGAGATGGATGGATGGATGGATAAAGAGAGATAAAGAGATGGATGGATGGATACAGAGAGAGATAAAGAGATGGATGGATGGATACAGGGAGATAAAGAGATGGATGGATGGATACAGAGAGAGATAAAGAGATGGATGGATGGATGGATACAGAGAGATAAAGAGATGGTTACGTAGATAAAACCAGGTCAGTGATTGATTTGTATCTGGTATCGGTAAAGTAAGAGAGGTTGTTGGACCCTGGTTGTCATTTGCCCCGTTGACCTCTGTCTATTAACACATCAGCCACCATGTAAAATGATCGTAACTACAGGCTGAACCAAAACACGACTTTACCAAACCGGTGACATACATTTTAAGGTTTATTCACTGATAGTGAGTTTTGCGTCTAATATAACGGAGTCTTCTGTAAATGTTTTAATTCCACTTTTTGGTTTAAATTGTGCAAATTGTTTTGCTTTTGTTTTATCTCAACACTGTTCCTTGTTTAATGAATAAATAATTTTGTCAGCCATGGAGAGGGAGCGAGGCCAACTCACTGGGTAACAACAGTTAAAATTCTCCTGATTATCAGGGAGAGTTAACAAACATTAACTATGACAGATCATCCAGACACGAGGGACCGGGCTTTAATCCCCCCCAGAAGGTCCAGACTCACCAAGATTCACCTTCCGGCAGTGAAATAGCCCTTACACAAAATGCTGGATGTAGATTTAATATGCTTCAAACTCCCTGTGGTGGGTTTGGAGAATTTTCCTGGGTCCCCCTGGGTACCTGGGTAAGACTGGGAATACACAAATATAGTATAAGTGGAGCTCTAATGTACCTGAGTAATATAATTGGAGATGAATGCACTTTGTGCAATCTTTTACAGAAACCTGTAAACAATATATGACAGAATCCTAGCGCAGATGGTATATACAATAATAAATGAGTATAGATGTAGCAATTTCCAACTCACAAGTAGAGAGCCAATCAGTCACCTGGCTCTAGTGTGTAGCGCTCTTGGATCCTTAAGGGAGATCCACAACTCTCTTCTGTCATCTTCCCAAATTGGTCAGCAGGGATAAATAGGAGGACATCAATGGTGTAAAATAATGAATAAATTCATTTCTAAAATTTAAATAGAATAAAAACTGATCCAATGATCAAAAATACTTGTAAATGAATAAGGTCTTTAGTCCAAAACGCATTTCGCCATCAGCTGGCTTCCTCGGTTGGTGGATACCATCTTGATTTCGGCATCTGTGTGCCCGGAAGTGTCCTGGAGGGAACGCACGTTCCGCCCTGTGGAACGCACGTTCCGTTCGTTAGGTGATCACATGGTCTGATGCGACTTCCTCTCTCTGTGGAACGCAAATATGTCGAGGCCCCTGCGCTCTGCCGTAGACCTACATTTATCCTCCGTCCGTACTCCCACCTCTGATGCTCGCCTTCAAGACTTCTCCAGGGCTGCACCTATTTTGTGGAACTTCTTTCCCTTCTCCATTAGACTTTCACCAAGTCTCCACTCCTTCAAAAAAATCATTGAAAACTCACTATTATAGGAAAGCGTATCATTTAAACTGTTAGCAGATTTTTCATCCCCCACCCCTCCCATGACTCCTCTCCTGCAGCTGTCAAAAATAACCTACTAAGCCCTCAGTGATTACTTTTCTAGCAACCTACATCGTTACCCTTACTTATAGTGGCAACCATTGTGGTGACGTAACCTGTATAGAGGAAAAAGTCGGTTGATGTGTTCCTGAACCGATGTATTCGGTAGGCTGGTAAATAAAGTGGGCAAAAAGCAGAAGTATCATGCCAAAGAATATTTATTAATACACAGACCATAATGCAAAGGGATATACCTCAAGATTACATTTTCTCAAAAACCCTCTGTATTTCTTGAACAGGTTGAGGTATGTATACTGAGAAAGCAGCTGACTTCCATCAACCTAATGATTTGATAACATGGACTGGTATGTCCTGACTGGATGCAGTAGAAGCAGGCCCTATCCTGAAGGAGTGTCCTGAATATCTACTAGAATTCAAACCCAGTCTAGTTAGTGACACTCATACGTACAGCATGAAAGTGGTCAGGACGGCCCCATGGAGTGACAGAAAAGGTGTGTCTGATTGCGTTGGTAGTGTAAGGTGATAAGAATCCAGAACCTTTCACTGGTCCCCATTTGTTTCGCGGAGGGTAATATGCGTTCTGAACTGGCTGACCCAGTTGGCTCATTTTAGTAACAGGTAATGATAGGACATCTTGGTGTTTTACTAGATAGGCGCGTCTGAGGCATTCTTGGGAGTTATGTTTATTATGGATGGTGAATTCTTGTGGTCTAAGAAACCCATAATAAGCTAGGTATATTGCCATTTTAATAACTGAATTAGTGATGTGTTCAAAAGGGGCTCTGTCTAGCAAATCTAACATATCTTTAAATAATTGTTTATGAATGGGTAACCTTTGATGTGGGGTAGGACCGCTGGCCTTATGTATGTGTTTAAGTATGGTCTTAATTGGATAAGAAGAAAGAAAACTGGGGTTGTCTGGGAATAATAAATACGGGTTGTCTGGGAATAAATAAATAATAAATATTATGCTGAATGCTGGTTAAGTAGTATATGATGGTATTGTGGGATAATTTTAACCTGAAGTGGCAAAAAGTAGCTACCAAAGACGTAATGTCAAACATCTTATCCAGTTCATGCTCTAACAGGAATTTCCTATATAATGAGAAAGCCTTATTGTAGGATCGGTGAGTGTTTGTTGAAAGGGCCATGCTAGTTAAGACTAGACTATGATCCAGTAACACCTTTAATCCATGACTAGTTCCGGGAACGGAGGGGCGGCTGTGGCTACCCATGAGGCAGTGGGTAGAGTTCTCCTGAACGCCTGAAATTTAAAGCGGGACAATTGGTCAGCTGCTGTATTGAAAATACGAGGAACATGACAACAAACCAGATAAAAATTATTTCAGGCAGCTAAACAAGTCAGTCTCCTAATGAACCTCATAATAGTCAGCATGGATGAACGCTCTTTGTTTCTAATATGGCAAATAGCTAGGTTGTCGGAAAGACATTGTACTGAGCAACCAGCCCATAAATGGCATCATGCTATAGCTGCATCAATGATGGCATATACCTTGAATAAGGCAGAGTTGCGGGAGAACCCTTCAATATCCTGCACCTCTTCTGGCCAACTATCCCAGACTGGCTTCCATGGCCACAGAATCAAGGTGGATACCCAGGAAGCTAATCAAGGTGTCAGGACCTTCTGTCTTTTTGGGAGAGACTGGTATACCTAAGGAATGATATAACTGAATGGCTTTGGTCAAATCACTAGGGGGAGAGGAATAGTTTTCAATAAACAGAAAATCATCCAGATTGTGGATAACTGTATGGCACCTGTACGTGTTCAATAGAAGCCAAAACAAGGTCTCAGCAACCGTATCGGAAATTTTAGGGCTGCTTTTCGAACCTAAGGTGACTCTTGTGAAGAAATAGTACAGCAGCCCTTTCCATTTAATACTGTGCAGATGCCAGGTTGAATGGGTAGTAAATTGAAGAAGTTAATAATATCTGTTTTACTGAGCCAGGCTCCAACCTCTGCTGTAATAATGGCGTCAATAGCATTATCTATTGTGGCATACTGCAGTGAAAACTCCTCCGATGGAATTAAGGAGTTAAGGCTAGGGATTCCTAATGAGTGAGGTGCGGAGAGATCTATGGTCAATCTCTGTTTAGCTGAGGACTTCCCAGTGACCAAACCTTTTGGGTCAGTCCTCCAGTTGGAGAACGGAGGCTCCTTGAACGGTCCTAATAAAAACCCTTCCCCCAGTTCCTGTTGCAACAGTGTATCAACCGTATCAGTATCTGCCAAAGCTGATTGGAGGTTATTGCATTCCACAATGCCTGCTGGAATGTGAATAAGACCAGTATGGAAACCATGTGTGAAGCCCTTAATGAAGAAATCAACCAAGTGTTTGGAAGGGTAAGAAGCTAAATAGCCAGCTAGAGAGCCAACTTTCACCGAGGTCAGATAAGGTTTAGAATGCATTTTATTTGGGCACATGGACTTCGCATGTGCCCTAAAGCAGTGAGAACATACATGCAACAAGCGGCAGGCACTATAGCTGCAGGTACCTTCATTTAATTTATTGCACCCTGTGATTTCCCTAAATATTGAATAGAACGACCAAGCTTATCCTTTACTGATTTGTCAGACCTGGCTCTGGCTCCTGGGAAAGCCATAGAAGGAGAGGTATCATGTAAGATCAGACAGTAATCTGTGGCATACGCGGTGGATGCACAGATTGCAAAAGCTAGTGTCCTCAGTCCAGCGAAGTGCCTGCAAAACAGCTCAGTGTCCATCTGGCTCCAATCAGTTTTGATGTTGAACTGAGCCAGAATGGCAGATGCCTTCACTGAAAAGGACCGGTGGTAATCATAAAATTACATACCACCGTATTTATTACCTAAGTCCACCAGCTGATGCAAGTAGAGGTCCAGCTCCTCTCTCCTATGAGAGTGTACAGAGCATATGACATCCCTATAAATCCCAAAGTCAATAACAAAATCCGGGATAGACAATTTCTTACTTGGTACAGGGTCCCTAGACTTCAACACAACGGAGATATCCCCATATGCGTCCGTGCGATTCTCCACTATATCCTGAGAGGAAATCAGTAGTGAGACGAGATTAATGTTTTTGCCTTCCAGGATATCTTTCTTGAGATTCGCAAGTACCATATGGGCCGGGTTGATGACATGGGTTCCTGATCCTGAGGGTATGTTATTACCAGCTTGTAACTGTGGAGAACCAGGAAGTTCAGCAGCTGAGGGCCCAGATAATGCTAGGGGAAGGCTACGAGCCTCAATTCTATCCAGCCTATCCCATGAAGGCTACGAGTGAGGCCATCATGGTGTGGAGATCCGAGTTGCCTGAACCACTCGTTCCTTCTCCTGCCCCTGTGTGGTCATTATTTGTCTGCTTGAGTCTAACAAGTTCCGCTTTCCTGGCCATACAAATAAAATCACAATTTGTTATAAAAATAATTATCAGCATTGCCCGAGGGAGCCCAGTCTGCACAGCCCGATGCCATTTCGGTACAATTCGAGGCAGGCAAAGCCCAAAACGAAAATCCGGGCCTACTACACGCCAAACTGCCGCGGCCTAGAGTACTTGTGGGGCGGACCATCTACAAACGATGACCATCTACATGACCCCGACCCATCCCACGAGGAGATGGGGCGCAGATCACAAAGACCACACCAAGGTACTGCCACAGCACAGCCTGATATAGGGGCACTGCTGCAGAAACAAACCCCAGCCAAAATGGCACCCGACCAGGGCCCAGACCCCCCACAGGCAGACACCCCACCTGCACAAACCACTCAGGGGGACACACAGAGATCCCCACAGCTCACACAGACCACAACCACCAAACCCATACCCCCACACGGAACAGCAGACCCAGCCCCCAAGCAGGACCTGCAGCAGTTGCAAACTATGCTGCATTATATACAACACCTGCTGGCAGCAGACCGAGCATGCAACAGATCACAGAAGCATGCAACAGATGGAGCGTGCAACAGATCACAGAAAAAGTGACCACCACTGAAAACCAAGTCAAAACAATACAGGGAGAAGTCTCTACGCTACAAGACTCACTCCACCAGCTACAACAAGACCAGCAACGCTTAGCAATACAACTGGTGGCGCAGGAGGATAAAAACCGGCGCAACCACATCAAAATCAGAGGAATCCCGGCATCGGTGAGCAAAGAGGACCTACCGCATTACGTGAGGCGACTCACACAATCATTACTCCCTCCTGCAGTAACAAAGAAACTCACCTTTGCAGGGATTTACCGCCTACCCACACCTCCTAGAGCCGCCGCAACGCTAGCTGGAGATGTCATCATCTGTTGCGTCCTACCCCAAGACAAGGGGCACATCATGAGCGCAATCAGGGGTAAGACCCCGCTTGATTTCGAGGAAACCCAACTGACTTTTTATCAGGACTTATCCAAGGCCACCCTCCAGTGGAGAAAGTCGCTTACAGAACTCACCAGCCACCTGCGTACAGCGGGGATACCATATAGATGGGGGAACCCCCGCTCTCTGCTCATCACCCACCAGGGGACCACCCATAAAATCACCTCAGGGACTGAGGCCCCTACACTACTCACAAAATTGGGCCTACAAAACTTGCCCAACCTGGGCACTCCCCACGTCTGGAATCCAGATGCCTCGGACACGTTTGTGCCGAGAAGGCAGAGAATGGACAAGCAAGCCACCTGACGGACAGGGGGAGAGAGGTCTCTTAACCCTGCCTGGTCAACGGCGATATCCATATGTCTTGTTTAACACAACCTGTATTCTCCCCACCCTCCGCGCAATACATTTTTGATGTTGAAGTTCTTACCTGTTTACCGCAAGCTAGAGGAGTTAGCCGGCGAGGACGCTGGCGCGCTGCCGCATTACCAGACCACAAGCCATAGCCTAAGCCAAAACCTACCCCCCCGGCAGCCCCTAGGTTAGGGCTACCACCCCTCATGAGTGGTCCCCAGCGGAACTAGACGACCAGGCCACTTCAGAAAGTAGATGTGAACACGTGTACCACTCACCAGACTACTTGACCGACAAAACTACACCCAATGCACCCCCACGGACCCTAGCACCACTCCGCACCTCCACGCAAATACTTCCTAACACCAATAGGGTCACGCCTTTGACACCAACCCATGACCTAGGTACTGCACCCGCAGACGAGTAACACGACTAAACCCCTATACGACCCAACCTCTACCTAGGATTCTACGCATGTTATACTTAATGAAAAATTGTGCTAAAATGTATCAAATGCATTATTTATCAAATGTTCAAACCTGTTACCTTGTCAAACGATGCATACGTTGCACCATGTATAAGTTTTGTGCACGCAAAAATAAAGAATTAAAAAAAAAAATAAACTTACAAGATTTATGAGGGTACTTCACAGACACAGAAAGCTATACTTCCAGCGGAAAAAGCCATAAAACCTTGGCTAACAGTTAAATCAACTGAGTAACCCTGTCAATGCTGGCTAGATCCTCCTAGGCATATAATATCCTATTCTCATGTAATTTTCAATTCAAATAACATTCAAACCAGCTCATTAATCATTTCGTGGAACCATCCAATAAGAATAATCTACCAGATTTTTACAAAAGCTGAATTTAACTCTACCTAAGATATACGATCTTATTTCAGAGCAAATCAATACACATGGATCTTTGTCCTAACTTTTTAAAGGGAAAGATTCTCTGTACGTCATTAGTTGGTAGAACCAATATGATACTGAAGGTGTGGTCAACCTGCAGTTCACAATTTAGATATTTGATCCATAGAGGGCAGTCTCGCCTCAGTAAACCTTCCTATCCAGGAAAGAGTTAACTTTTCCTGATGACGATTTTGACGTCATTTGGCTTATTTAAAATGACTACCATAACTTAAATTTGCTGTCAGTTCAAAGCGTTTGTCTTTGTGGCAATTATTTTTTAAGATTTAGAAAGTAAAATTAATTACTGAGTCTTCTCTGTCACTAGTGTCTGTGTTTAAAATTATTTATATTCCATTAACATTTAAACAGAGCATCCCATCCCCATGCTTCATTGCTTATCACTTGGCTTGTTTACATAATGCATTCCTTCGCTCAGGCTAGTTACAGAAAGGAAAGAAATGTTGTGTCTGCCTTGCCTGAAATCCAAAATGGAGTCCGCTCTGTTCTGAGTGACTCTGGCAATATACACTTTTAATTTCTATCTTAGCACAAAATGTCTGCCGATATAAATATCCTGACAATTGCGTCTGTGAAGTTCCGCCGTGATGCGGGGAATGGTCTATGACCTGATAGATGCAGGGCTACTGTTATCGCCTTTACGAGTAGATGAAATGGACCTGACAGTACTGGAGAGAGAAAAATCGTCTGCTTTTTCAGGGATCTGAGACATACTGTCAGGATCCTGTCCTTACAAGCAAGACTTTTGTTATGTATATCCTGTTCCTTTATAAAAATAAACAAATTTCTACATTGATTTTGTTTTACCACTCTCTAGTTTGACCACTCACCTTCATGCCAACCTGCCTGGACTAATTTGGGTTCCTACAAAAGGTAATGCCCAACTCACCACTTTGCCTTGACATTGAAGTTGACGTTCATACTGAAAAGACTTCCGATCCTGGCTCCTGAAACAACCTTTGGCTTACGTTCATTGCTTCCAACCTGATTTGCTACAAACCCTGCTTCATACCAACTTGGATTGCCTGCAACTCTGCTTTATCCTGTGTGACGAAGTGCCCTTCGCCACTTGGTACTGGAGAGGCCTGCTTGCCAGCCTCCTCCCCTGTGACTATGACTCTTTGATGTATTTGCCTTTAAAGACAGACTACCTTCAGACAGACTATTTATGTAGGCTGCTTTATTTATCCTATGTTTTAGTCACCCTGTACCCATTATAGGTGCAGGGTGTGTGTTATGTAATTGTTTACAGTGTGTGTGTGTGTACTGTGAAATGTATTGCCTTCTCTCCTGTACTGCTGAGGTTTGCTACCAACTAGGTGGGTTTGGCTATGGAGCTTGTCTAGTGCCCTCTGTTGGTAGCAACAGCAATATGCACTACCTGAATTGCAAGACTGGTTCATTTGCATATTCGGGTAGATTTGCATATTGCTAATTCTGCAGGCAGGTGAGATATTTACTGTTAAATATTGTCTCCCCCCACCCCTTTAAAAATGTGCCATTGTGTTGTGATAAGTCACTGTGTGTTTCTTGATATGGTTTGACTGTTTGTGATTTTATTGAGGTTTCACAACAATGTTATTGTGGTGACTGTATTGGCTGGTCCCAAGGGAATAAAGGTTTTGACAGTTCTTCTTGATCCCTCTAAATGTAGCCTTGTCTCGTTATTGGAGGGAGCTGTTATAATCACACTGGGGATTGCTATGCTCTGCATGCTCCCCTGAGCTTGAATCACTTAGCTCTTTTAAGAGCTTGTTCCTGACACGCTCTCCTTGGAGGAGGGGTCTTCATCACACAGTCCTGGATGCTGGAGGTTCGTACAGGGTGGAAGGAAGAGTTCTTTCCCACACAGTCCTGGAGGACAGAAGCTGATCCAGGGTGGAAGGAAGACGACGAGACTCCAGTCAAGATACGGCAGTTGCGGAGTCTGCGGTGGTCGTAGTGTCTGCTGCAGCGCTTGGAGTCCTCAGGAAGCGCTAGGAGCAATCGTCAACGGAGGGTACTCGGTCGGAGTACCGGGAGCTCCGTTACATCCTGCCAAACTCTTTTACTTCCCACCCTGCTCCTTACCAACCCTACTTCATATCATCCTGGATTACTTTCAATTCTGCTTTATCCTGCCTACTTGGATTATACAAACCTGCATAGCCCCTATCTGGACATTGCTGCTTACTCTTATTTACAAGGTGTTTTTGTCTTACCCTGAAACCTTATTTTAGTTAACTCTGGCAATTGTCTCCTACCTGACCTGATCAAGAGCATGACACATACTAAAAGGAATAACAAGCATAAATCAGAAAACTGGTCATTTTTCTGGCTGGCTAACTAGTGGCGAAACAATTCACTAGGTTGATGACAGGTGAGACCCTGCTAGTTGCCAAGCGGCTTAAGATGCTCTATCTATGCGTTGGCGAGAGGGATTCGTGGCCACCTGACTTCGTGGGGGGGGTGTTGGCCTCTCAGTGACTTTTAAAGCAGAAGACAGTTTGGGAGTGACAGGGGAGGCCCTCTCTATGCAATTGTGCGAGGTGACTATGATTTGGCCCGAGGGACAAATTTTACCTCAAGCGTGGAGGCTGGGTGTTGGCCTCTTGGGACCACTGTAACATGAGGCGAAGAGGCCAGAAATGCTACTACTGGTGGCCCTCTAGACCCTATCCACCCAGTTAACCTAAAAACCCAAGGGGGATGAGGCGGGGAAGGGAACTCCAATTAAAGAAGGTGTAGAGGGGAAGGAGAGGCCTATACCTAGAAATTAGTATATGTATTAAAAAGTATACAAGCCAAGGTACTGCTAAATATTGAAGCCCCTAATATCCCCACCTACTTACTGGAATAGGATTTGAGGTCCGAAGAGCAAAATGCAGCCTTAAATTGCAACCTTGAATCTGTAAAATATGATTAATCATGATTCATAAATATTTTTAATCCTATAATGTGCAGAAATTCATATGTAACATCATGGACAGTGGCCCCAGACATAATGTCTATTGTAACCCAATCAATATACCACTTTTTTAATTAAAACCTATTAGTAGCATCACGAGCCTCAGTTCAAGGAACCACTTATGCCGAAATAATGTAGGGGCAGATAGAAGTTTAACAACCTTGCTATCTGTCCCACAACTACTTAAGTGAACCAGTTAGGACAGAGGTATAACATTGTATGCATAAAACCAACTTTAAAAGTGATTCTAAAACACACACAAAACAACGTATTAAAGATCTGTATTCCAATACCCCTGCAACAATTTGCAGAATGACATGCCAGCACAGTTATCACAGAATTATGCAATTGAAACCAAAGCCACTAGGTGGCGATAAAATAACTTTAACTGATCTGCCAGTGTCAATCAAGGCTGAGCTATTATCAAAATATGTAGCGATTAACTGAAATTCGCCCAATGCTGGTCTAATCCACAATTAAGTGAATGAATGTATTAAACTAATGAAATGAATGTGCTGAACGTGGCACCGTATGAAAAGAATGCAAACAGTAACTGCAAATTATGGAAAATGATTCCTGCCGTGAGCGACACGCAGCCGGTAGTGACACAGTGCAGGGGAACCAGGTAACTATTTGTGTGTACCTTACCCTGGACATGAATAACATGCTTTGTAGAGTGGGGAATGGTACAGCAGCATGGTGACATCAGCCATCACCCGTATAACTTACGGTTTGAAGCCGGAAGCCAGGAACGTGGGGCAAAGAGGATGCGTAGAGGGGACGCTTGGCCCAGACAGATACTGGACTTGGTGGCCGGGGATCTCGTGGCAGCCAGAGAAGAGGTTTCTGCGCTGTGAGACCGGCCGGTGACCTCCAGCAGCTGTGAACCGGAAGTTCAGGTAGAAGCGAACTGGAAGTGACCCTGGCCGTAACGCTGGAACTCAACGCAGATCGTTAGGCCAATTACGGTAGGGCAGGTAAGGGGTGCGTCCCTTATATAGGTCCCACAACTCCAGACAAAGCCTTGACTTTCCACATCCTTTGTATCTCCTTGTTCAGTCCTTGGTAGGTATATATATACTGGGACTAATACTGCCTTCACGTTCAAATATTTATATGTATATATATAAATATTTGAACGTGAAGGCAGTATTAGTCCCAGTTGTGACAGGAGCATTCGGGGCTGTGACTCCTAAATAGGGAGATGGGTTGGGCAGATTCCAGGTGGGACATTTGAGACTTCTACCCAAATTAGTGCAGTGCTGGGAACAGCTGTGCAGACCCCAGCAGACTCCAGAAAACCCGAGAGGTGAGAGGTGAGAAAGTCAATTTTATTTTTTTATATAAAAGGGTATTTTGACAAATTGCGCCTCGTCACGTGTTCTCGGAGGGGCCTGCTGGCCAGCCTCTTACCAAAAAACTATGGGCCCTTTAAAAAAAATATGTGAATAGACTTGGTTTGTGGGAGTTTACATTTGGTTTGGGAACCGAACAGCCGCACGAACTGGAGACCACCCTGGAGCATGTTAAGCCTAATTGCTACTTTGTAGCAATTTCCACCCCAGTGTTCTAAGTGTTCGTCTGGGTGGCCGCAAATCCTATAGACAACCACGAGTGCAGGCAGCGGGGTTTGGGCATGAATCTCATGGAACTGAAAATGGACACAGAAACTCCCAAACACCGCTGGACTTCCAGCATCGCCTGTGTTCGGTTCCACAACACTTAGAAAAGCGCTGTTCAGTGGAAACGTTCTCACGAACAAGGGGATCAAGCTCCAGGGTAAGAACATTGACTATGTTTGGTAGTTTGTTTGTTTTCAAACTACTGAACTAGACCGACCTCAAGCCCTGATTCTCTGGAACTGTTTTCGGCATGGGACTATGCGGGCAGTCGGTCAAAATTAGGACTTCCAGGAAATTCCTGAACCCCTGAACTGATCTGGGTAATTTTTGGATATGTTGGTCACCCAGATCAGGACTATCAGGGGATGTTACTTTTGTGGGGGTTTTATGTATTTTTAGGGTACTTTTGGGGTGTTTAGGAAAAAGTGTGTTTTTTCTGTGCTTGGAGATAATTGGATTAGCTTAGTACAGTTCCTGATCCAATTACCTCTCAGGCACAGATTTCTGATTTTGTATGGGAGTGTTCTGGACCTGAGAGCCAGTGTAATTGTGTATTTATTTCTACTGTGGATTACTCTCAGGTCCAGAGGGGGGGGTGCCCCTTTCATGGGACTGTCATAAAAGGCCAGTTGTAGCTACTATTAAATGGACATTCGTTTTACCCTTCATGAAGTGTAGGCTCATGTTTGGGAGATTGGAGAGCTATATTCACAATATGGGGATTGCTATAATCACTTGTATCACAAGTATCCCTTGGATCACAACACTTGCTCTTATAAGAGCAGCCTGCTTCGCTCTCTGGACTAGGAGAGGTCTACCCACTGGAAGCAGGATCCTGGCCTTGGGTCCAGGGTGGGTGGAGGACAGCAAGACAGCAACCAAGTTGCAGCAGTTTGTGGGGTTTATGATGCTCGCCCGTAGTAGGAAGCAGCGATTGACGGCAGTCTGTCACAAGTATGATGTAATTTTATTGATTCAACATAGTAGATCAAGTCAGGTACAGATAAAGAGATTTTATTATAGAAATAGGCGTTCATCAAATAGTTCTTCCATATTGCATACAAATGTAATATTCTACGGCATATTCTCGAACTGAGGAACATTGGTGGGTGGAGAGGAAGAGTAAAATACTAAATAATGTTCAACTGGGTCAGGTTTCACCAGTCCCGGGTAAAAGAACTAATATAAAAACTACTAGAAGTGTAGTGTGACGGAATAGCCCCATCACTTTCGGCTCCTTTCACAGAAATAGATTCATGTTTGTTTTCTTTTGTTTATTTGGTTCAGCCCACGAACAAGGACCACCCCAGAAACCCATTAGAATGCTCCACTTGGTGGCCACCATTTCGTGCAAGCGAACACACGTGGTCGGACAATGGATGGCGGCCATCTTGTCTCCCGAATGCAGGCAGCGGGACTTGGTCGTCGCGTGCCTGGAACTAATTTCGGCCAGGCACTCCTGTGAACTCCGGTCGCCATGGACCTACTGCCCGTTCAAGTTCCTCAACATCTACACGAACGGTGTTCAGGAGATACATACTACCGAACAAGGGAAGCATTCTACACTTATCCTTTTTTGTATAACTTATGTGGTTTTCGTACACAACCCCATGAACAGAGACCGGCTTTTGCCACTACTTCCCTGGAACTATTTTGGGCTAATGGAGCTGGACAAAAATAACTTGCTTGTGGCGAACCCTGCCGTTCGTGCAGACGAAAGCGAACAGATGAGGGAAATTCAGGAAAGGTTGGCGCTGTTCGTCCCAAATCCCTCTCTCAAAATCATCTTACGGATTATTACCGATGTGAACACAAACGCCAGGGAACAATGTGAATTACAAGCACACCTACTGGAGGCGCAATGAACTGCAAAGTCTTCCCCGAACAGTACAAGCTTCACACAAGATCCACGAAAAGTAACCTTCAGTGCCTTCAAAGCATTTGATGAATCCACGGGTGAGATTGATGGCTACCTAGCCGACTTCGAGCGGCAGTGTGCACTCCACAAAGTAGCGACGGAGGAATGGGTCCCTATATAAGCTGGAAAATTGTCTGGCAAGGCGGAGGATGCCTTTAGGGCCATTCCAGAGCACGAGGTGCAGAACACACACTGCCCCCCATACACACACACTGCCCCCCATACACCCATACTGCACCCCATACACCCATACTGCCCCCATACACCCACACTGCCCCCCATACACACACACACTGCCCCCTATACACCACTGCCCCCATACACACGCCTGCCCCCATACACACACTGCCCCCACATACTGCACACTGCCCCCCATACACACACCTGCCCCCCATACACCCATACTGCCCCCTATGCACCCACAATGCCCCCCATACACACACACACTGCCCCCATACACCCATACTGCCCCCATGCACCCACACTGCCCCCCATGCACCCATACCCCCCCCCACCCCCACCTATACTGCTCCCCATACACACACACTGCCCCTATACACCCACACACTGCCCCCTATACACACACTGCCCCTAGAGACCCAGACTACTCCCTCATACACACACACACTGCCACCCTCTATACTGCCACATACACATTATTGCCCCCCCATACACCCATATACTGCCCCCTACACACACTGCCCCCCTATACACTGCCCCCATGCACACACACACTGCCCCCTATACACACACACTGCCCCCATACACACACACTGCCCTCTATACACCCATACTGCCCCCATACACACACACACTGCCCCCATACACACACTGCCCTATACACCCATACTGCCCCCCATGCACCCACACTGCCCCCATACCCATACTGCCCTCATACACACATTGCCCCCATACTGCCTCCCTATACACACATAATGCCACAGACATCTGCCTCTATACACCCATACTGCTCCCCTATACACACACACACACTGCCCCTATACACACACACACTGCCCCCTATACACACATATTACTGCCCCCCATACACACACACTGCCCCCATGCCCATACACCCATACTGCCCCCCATACATACACCCATACTGCCCCCATACACACACCCCACATACTGCCCCCCCACACATACTGCCTCCCATACACACACACTGCCCCCTATACACCCAAGCCTCTCATACACCCATAGCCCCCCCATACACACACACTGCCCCCTGCTCCACATACACACACTGCCCCCATGCACTGCCCCCATACACGCCATCACTGCCTACACTGCCCCCATACACCCATACTGCCCCCATACACACACACACTGCCCCCATACACATACTGCCCCATACACACACACTGCCCCCCATACACACACTGCCCCCATACACTGCCCCTACACGCCCCCCATACACTGCTCCCATACACACACTGCCCCATACACACACCCCCATACACACACACTGCCCCCTATCTGTCCCTATACACACACACTGCACCAACATTACTACTGCCCCCATACTGCCCCCCATAATACACACACTGCCCCCATACATACACACACATACTGCCCCATATACTACCCACACATACTGCCCCCCCCATACACACACACTGCCGCCCCATATACACACATTGACCACACTCACACAATACACTGCAATACTCACACACACACACTGCAACTGTTACACACACATACTGTCCCACACATACACTGCATCCCTGACATACACTGCCGCTCTCACACACGCTCACACACTGTCCCCATCACACACACACTGCACCCCTTACACATTGCACCACTCAGAAACACTACTGCTCCTATGCACTACTACAGCCCCATTTCCCAGCAGACCTCAGGTAAGTTGTCAAACTGTTCTTAAACGGTTTGACTACTTACTCTGGGAGGGGGTCCCGGCACTATAGACACCATAACCACTACACTGAGCTGTTCAGCTCCTGGGAGGTCTGCTTATTTCCAACTCCTAGTTCCTGGGATCCGCATAAGCTGAATCAGGGTTCTGGTTTGTGGCTGCACAAACGCTGGTGCTCAACACCAGGGGGCGTACGGTTACCCTGCACCAGCACCTGACCTATCCACTCTCACGCTAAAGACTCACACTTATCATCAGGCATACTGGGTCCCGGTCCTCACTCCGCCGCCCAGTGTCTGGGTCCCGGGCACCGGATCGCCACCCTGACACACATATAGTATCCTCCTGGGCAGAATTAGGAGGGAGACGAAGGGACACCGTTAAGTTGGGCAAAAAGAGACAGGTTTAAGATTACTCCAGGAGGTGGTTAATGAGCCCAAAAATATGTTTCCAAAATGGTACAATTTTTTACATTGTCACCACATTAGGTAGTACCTCTCGAGGCACAGCCCACTATATCACAGTGGTAATCAGTCAGGGAAAATATGGTGTAATCCCCAATATCATCACACCACACATTTGTATCCATTTTCCTATATGTTTGTTTAAATAGGCACCCTGTAACAATTCTTGAAAATTCTCTTTCAGTCCTCATCTTCAATTATCCAAGTCATAATCTCTTTCCCAGAGCCTTTGGAGATTAGTTTTTCTTACTGTACCTGTGTTTTGTAGCAACACATAGATATTAGAAAATGCACCTTGCATGAGTTTGATATATGTATAATACTCGAAAGGAGTGCGTGGAGGCAAGGGATCGGTTAAAATCCTTGTCTCCAAGAAATCCCCAATTTTTAAAGTTGCCCATTTCCTCAACAGACATACCACATGTTTTACTAAACAACTCTGCTCCGATAGCCCGACATGCCCATTCAAAGTCAGACACTGAGGTAAGAGAATGAGCAGTCCACCACTAGCCCTTTTCCACCCGGACAATGAAAAGTAGGGTTGCCAACAATAGGGTTAATTCGAGAATTGCTGTCTTGAAGGTCGTCTCTTTTCTATATTTGTAAGGAGGCTCTACAAGTTGCACAAGAGCAAGGTAGGTACATTTTCTGGTGAACAAATAGTGTTTTCAATATCCACTCTGTAAATTGAGTCTGGAGGTGCCTTTCACTGCAATGCTTGTGCAAACTGTGAAGCACCGCCCCAAAAAACTGAGAACAGGGAACCCCACTGTTTGCCTTTACCTGTACTGACGATAAAGTGTTTGAATTTGAGTTGATCTAGAAGTCCATCATATTGAATAGTTTACAATATATATGCCGGTGAGATTAATTTCTTGCTCTCTCTTTCTCCATCTTATTAGGATGATGTCGCTTCTGTTTCTCCTTGTTGCTGTTGGTGTTTCTGCTGGGGTGGCTCAACCTTGCGTTGCCCCGATAGGTGGTAAGTTATTTTTGTTTCGGGGGCTCGTTAATTAATGTTTAAATAGACCAAACTCCATCAAAATTCAATACTTCTTGATAACAGGTAATTAAAAATAATACAAATATATAACAGAGCATGTCACACCGAGCACTTGAAAACTATACACAGAGTTGTCAATATGTAAAGCAAGTTTGATTTCCATACTGTGAACCTGAAAGGTTTAAATTCTTCTTTTCGACTATCCTGTTTTCATTAAAACTTCATTTAATTTAATACACCATACTAATGACATCTGTTACCATAAAGGTCTTTGTTACAGGTTTGGTTTGATTGGATTTATGACCATTAGCAGTTGTTACAGATTAAGTTTAATTGAATGATTACCATTAGCGGTTGTTACAGGTTTGGTTTGATTGGATGATAACCATTAGCGGTTGTTACAGGTTTGGTTTGATTGGATGATAGCCATTAGCAGTTGTTACAGGGTTGGTTTGATTGGATGATAACCATTAGCGGTTGTTACAGGTTTGGTTTGATTGGATAATAACCATTAGCAGTTGTTACAGGGTTGGTTTGATTGGATGATAACCACTAGCTGTTATTACAGGTTAGGTTTGATTGGATGATAACCATTAGCGGGAGTTACAGGTTAGGTTTGATTGGATGATAACCATTAGCGGTTGTTACAGGTTAGGTTTGATTGGATGATAACCATTAGCGGTTGTTACAGGTTAGGTTTGATTGGATGATAACCATTAGCGGTTGTTACAGGTTAGGTTTGATTGGATGATAACCATTAGCAGTTGTTACAGATTAAGTTTAATTGGATGATAACCATTAGCGGTTGTTACAGGTTAGGTTTGATTGGATGATAACCATTAGCTGTTGTTACAGATTAAGTTTAATTGGATGATAACCATTATTGGTTGTTACAAGTTAGGTTTGATTGGATGATAACCATTAGCGGTTGTTACAGGTTAGGTTTGATTGGATGATAACCATTATCTGTTGTTACAGATTAAGTTTAATTGGATGATAACCATTAGCGGTTGTTACAGGTTAGGTTTGATTGGATGATAACCATTAGCTGTTGTTACAGATTAAGTTTAATTGGATGATAACCATTATTGGTTGTTACAAGTTAGGTTTGATTGGATGATAACCATTAGCGGTTGTTACAGGTTAGGTTTGATTGGATGATAACCATTATCTGTTGTTACAGATTAAGTTTAATTGGATGATAACCATTAGCGGTTGTTACAGGTTTGGTTTGATTGGATGATAACCATTAGCGGTTGATACAGGTTCAGTTTGATTGGATGATAACCATTAGCGGTTGTTACAGGTTTAGTTTGATTGGATGATAACCATTAGCGGTTGTTACAGGTTAGGTTTGATTGGATGATAACCATTAGCGGTTGTTACAGGTTAGGTTTGATTGGATGATAACCATTAGCAGTTGTTACAGGTTTGGTTTGATTGGATGATAACCATTAGCGGTTGTTGCAAGTTAGGTTTGATTGGATGATAACCATTAGCAGTTGTTACAGGTTCGGTTTGATTGGATGATAACCATTAGCGGTTGTTACAGGTGTGGTTTGATTGGATGATAACCATTAGCGGTTGTTACAGGTTTGGTTTGATTGGATGATAACCATTAGCGGTTGTCACAGGTTTGGTTTGATTGGATGATAATCATTAGTGGTTGTCACAGGTTCAGTTTGATTGGATGATAACCATTAGCGGTTGTTACAGGTTAGGTTTGATTGGATGATAACCATTAGCGGTTGTTACAGGTTTGGTTTGATTGGATGATAACCATTAGCGGTTGATACAGGTTCAGTTTGATTGGATGATAACCATTAGCGGTTGTTACAGGTTAGGTTTGATTGGATGATAACCATTAGCGGTTGTTACAGGTTAGGTTTGATTGGATGATAACCATTAGCAGTTGTTACAGGTTTGGTTTGATTGGATGATAACCATTAGCGGTTGTTGCAAGTTAGGTTTGATTGGATGATAACCATTAGCAGTTGTTACAGGTTTGGTTTGATTGGATGATAACCATTAGCGGTTGATACAGGTTCAGTTTGATTGGATGATAACCATTAGCGGTTGTTACAGGTTAGGTTTGATTGGATGATAACCATTAGCGGTTGTTACAGGTTAGGTTTGATTGGATGATAACCATTAGCAGTTGTTACAGGTTTGGTTTGATTGGATGATAACCATTAGCGGTTGTTGCAAGTTAGGTTTGATTGGATGATAACCATTAGCAGTTGTTACAGGTTCGGTTTGATTGGATGATAACCATTAGCGGTTGTTACAGGTGTGGTTTGATTGGATGATAACCATTAGCGGTTGTTACAGGTTTGGTTTGATTGGATGATAACCATTAGCGGTTGTCACAGGTTTGGTTTGATTGGATGATAATCATTAGTGGTTGTCACAGGTTCGGTTTGATTGGATGATAACCATTAGCGGTTGTTACAGGTTCGGTTTGACTGGATGATAACCATTAGCGGTTGTTACAGGTTCGGTTTGATTGGATGATAACCATTAACGGTTGTTACAGGTTCGGTTTGACTGGATGATAACCATTAGCAGTTGTTACAGGTTTAGTTTGATTGGATGATAACCATTAGCGGTTGTTACAGGTTTGGTTTGATTGGATGATAACCATTAGCGGTTGTTACAGGTGTGGTTTGATTGGATGATAACCATTAGCGGTTGTTACAGGTTTGGTTTGATTGGATGATAACCATTAGCAGTTGTCACAGGTTTGGTTTGATTGGATGATAATCATTAGCGGTTGTTACAGGTTTAGTTTGATTGGATGATAACCATTAAGGGTTGTTACAGGTTTGGTTTGATGATAACCATTAGCGGTTGTTATAGGTTAGGTTTGGTTTGATTGGATGATAACCATTAGCGGTTGTTACCGGTTTGGTTTGATTGGATGATAACCTTTAGCAGTTGTCACAGGTTTGGTTTGATTGGATGATAACCATTAGCGGTTGTCACAGGTTTGGTTTGATTGGATGATAACCATTAGCAGTTGTTACAGGTTTGGTTTGATTGGATGATAACCATTAGCAGTTGTTACAGGTTTGGTTTGATTGGATGATAACCATTAGCAGTTGTTACAGGTTTGGTTTGATTGGATGATAACCATTAGCGGTTGTTACAGGTTTGGTTTGATTGGATGATAACCATTAGCAGTTGTTACATGTTTAGTTTGATTGGATGATAACCATTAGCGGTTGTTACAGGTTTGGTTTGATTGCCTCCATGCACCTCCAGGTACTCCACTGTCCAGTCGCAGCCAATGCAGCACTGACCAACACACACACTCACAGACACACATACTCACTGACAGACACACACACACTCACCCACAGACAGACACACAAACTCATGGACACACTCACTCACTCACAGACAGACACACACACACACATTTAAACATTCTTGCAATCACATCATCAATTTATTGTTCCCTACCTTTGGGAGTTGGTGTGGGGATCATTTTCGGGCAGGGTAAGTGTTAGCAGAGTAGGCACTTGCAATGTGGGGGAAGCAGGTGCCTACTCTGCTATAACACCGAGCATGTACTCGTGGCTCACCGGGCCGCAAAGATGGTCCTTGTGGGCCGCATGCGACCTGTGAGTTTGACATGCTTGGTCCAGGACGTCGCACCATGGCCACGCAGATACCAAAACTACTACATCATACTACGTCATTAAAATAAACTTTTTGTGGCATTACCTTTATTTTATTAAGAAATTAATTTTTTTGTAGGTTAATAAAATTGACATAATCGGTAAACTGTAATCTCTATATTTCCAGTTCGGAATCTGGCCAAGTATGGCAAAGTTAGCCAGAGTTCATCATACAGTGCTACTTCCCATCCTCAGCTCGCCATTGATGGGAATAAGGATAGCATATACAGCCAAGGCTCCTGCGCACACACAAAGAAGGATAATAAGCCCTGGTGGAGGCTGGAGATGGACACAAGCGAGAGCATAGGAGCTATTTCAATTACAAATCGAAAGGACTGCTGTCAAGAACGACTAAAGGGGGCCCTCATTACAGTCGGTGACTCACCAAATCATGATAATCCAGTGTATGTTACTCACTTTCTGTCTTTTGTGATCCTATCTTGGAACTGCATTGAATTTAAATTTCTGCATTAAAGAGCGTTTGGTTTCTAGGGATGTCAAGTCCTCAGCAGTGTGAATCCAGGGCTAGTGCAAGTGTAAGCCAGGCCAGGTAGCCAAAGTAGGTCACCATGGGTGTGGCAAAAAAACCTGCTATTCTTTTCAGACTTTTAATAAGGCAGAGTCGGCACTGGTGCAATAAGTGTCTACTGTGCTAAACGTGGCAAGGGAGCTGTGATTGCACTGGTCCTGCCTACATGGCTCTCCTTTGTGTCTCCTGTTGTGATGCCGGGCTGTAACATCACTCTGGCCTGGAAATCAGTACTGGACTAACCTGAGCAGTGATCAAAAAAGCTCCCACTGGCCACCCAGGTGAGGATCTGCTCCAGCTCTCCCAGGATAAGCAAGAGGGGCTGGTTAGACGTCATAAGAAAAGCATGAAATGAAAATTGTGATTGTGTGTGTATTTGATATATATTTGTATATACATTTTCTTAAAGGGTTGGGGGTGCTTCAGATATTTTGCTCTTACAGGCACATTAGAAATGAATCCTGTCCTCTTTGAACGGCTCTAACAGACACACTGGGGCGGCCGCAGGGGGAGCTGTCTGTGCTGGCGGCCGCAGGGGGAGCTGTCTGTGCTGGCGGCCGCAGGGGGAGCTGTCTCTGCTGGCGGCCGCAGGGGGAAGCTGTCTCTGCTGGCGGCCGCAGGGGGAAGCTGTCTCTGCTGGCGGCCGCAGGGGGAAGCTGTCTCTGCTGGCGGCCGCAGGGGGAAGCTGTCTCTGCTGGCGGCCGCAGGGGGAAGCTGTCTCTGCTGGCGGCCGCAGGGGGAAGCTGTCTCTGCTGGCGGCCGCAGGGGGAAGCTGTCTCTGCTGGCGGCCGCAGGGGGGAGCTGTCTCTGATGTCTCTGCCCCCCCTGCCCTTGCACGTTTCTCTACGTTTCTTATTGAGACCGGGGCCGGAATATAATGTCATATTCCGGCCCCAGTCTCTTTAAGCAGAGACAGCACAGCTCCCCCTGTGGCAGCCAGCGCACCCAGCTGTCTGCCTTGCCCGACCCCCTGGCCAGGTAGCAATAATGTTTGTCAGTCTGTGAGTGTTTGTGTGTGTGTCTTTCATGGTGTGTGCGTGTCTGTCTGTCATGGTGTGTGCATGCCTGTCTGTGTCATGGTCTGTCTGTGTCATGGTGTGTGTGTGTGTGTCATGTTGTATGTCTGTCATGGTATATGTGTGTCTGTCATGGTGTTTATGTTTCAGTGTCTGTCATGGTGTATGTGTGTGTTAAAATATAGTGTTTTTACTCACCTTTTTGTTTCCCCACTCCACGCTGGTCTCCCCTCGACTGGCTCTGCCTCTATGGCTGAGATCATCAAGCCTGATGATCTCCGCCAATCCAATGCTTTGCCATAGAATTGGCTGCAAAACGCTACACCAATCAGCATCTCCTCATAAAGATGCATTGAATCAATGTATCTCTATTGGGAACATTCAGCGCCTCCAGAGCGTGGAGGCCCTGAATGTAGGTGCTGCACTGACACAGGAAGCATCTCTAGTAACCGTCTGAGTGACTGTCACTAGAGGTGTCACTAGGAAGCAATGCAAACACTGCCTTTTCTCTAAAAAGTCAGTGTTTACATTGAAAAGCCAACAGGGACAGGCTATAGCCAACAGAACCACTACATTAAGCTGTGTGTGCGTGTGTGCGTCTGCTAGTGAGTGCGCTTGCTTGTGTGTGTGTGTGTGTGTGTGCCTGCTAGTGAGTGAGCTTGTGTTTTTATGTCAGTGAGCTTATGTATATCAGTGAGGTTGTTTGTCTATAAGGCTGTGTATCAATGAGCTTGTGTGTGTCAGTGATGTTGTCTGCGTCTGCATGTCAGTATGCTTACTATATAATTAAACGTTTTACTCTGAAAGGACCAATATTTTATATTAGAAAAAGCAATATATATTTGATATATATATATATATTAATCATCTGGGGTGGCAAGATATAGCCTTACATAATACATGCGACAATATATGGCACAATGACTTATGGGGCTGGCATAGATTTTTTTTTTTTCCAGGGCTGCTTCGTGGCCGCAGTCCGGTTCTGCTCAAAATGCAAAACCTTTGCTCTGTCTCTGTATGGAGCAATACGAAATAAAATGTGCCAGTGTCACCACCACTCAATGCTGGTGGAAGAGGGGGTGTCTGGCTGAGCCTTTACTTTAAACGTTAAAATAAAGTTTTACATACTACAGCCCTCCTATCCTCATTCTCTGCCCTTTTCTAAAATAATCAAATCCTTAAATTTGCCTGGTTATTCTATGAGAGAATACAATTCCAGTTGTTAGAGGAGATACATGGATTATTTGTGGGTTTGGATGTTGGTTGCTGCCTTCAAGATATTGTTAGTTGTAATACGGTCTGTTAAGTCAGTCACCCCCCCTACCCCCCACCCCCTCTATAGGATAGGTAATACCGGGGGAATTGGACAAATCTTGGTGTGGATAGTTTTGGAATTTTATAGGATCACTCTGAGCACCATAAAAACGTCATTGAAATAAAGTTGTTATGGTGCAAGGAGGCGCCAGACACAGGCTTACCTCAGTGGTTAACTTACGGTCTAACCCCAAGGTCTTCAGTCTGGCACTCGTCAAGGCTGCCCCTTTACTGTTGTTGCAGGCCGAGTCTTGAAAGAAGAAACCTTAGACTGGGCACCACTGATAAGCTAAGAGCGTCATATACAGTTACAAGAAAAAGTATGTGAACCCTTTGGAATGATATGGATTTCTGCACAAATTGGTCATAAAATGTGATCTGATCATCTAAGTCACAACAATAGACAATCACAGTCTGCTTAAACTAATAACACACAAAGAATGAAATGTTGCCATGTTTTTATTGAACACACCATGTAAACATTCACAGTGCAGGTGGAAAAAGTATGTGAACCCTTGGATTTAATAACTGGTTGAACCTCCTTTGGCAGCAATAACTTCAACCAAACGTTTCCTGTAGTTGCAGATCAGACGTGCACAACGGTCAGGAGTAATTCTTGACCATTCCTCTTTACAGAACTGTTTCAGTTCAGCAATATTCTTGGGATGTCTGGTGTGAATCGCTTTCTTGAGGTCATGCCACAGCATCTCAATTGGGTTGAGGTCAGGACTCTGACTGGGCCACTTCAGAAGGTGAATTTTCTTCTGTTTAAGCCATTCTGTTGTTGATTTACTTGTCCTTTACTTGTCCTGTTGAAACCCCCATCTTCTGTTGAGCTTCAACTGGTAGAAAGATGGCCTTAAGTTCTTCTGCAAAATGTCTTGATAAACTTGGGAATTCATTTTTCCTTCAATGATAGCAATCCGTCCAGGCCCTGACGCAGCAAAGCAGCCCCAAACCATGATGCCCCCACCACCATACTTCACAGTTGGGATGAGGTTTTGATGTTTGTGTGCTCTGCCTTTTTTTTCGCCACACATAGTGTTGTGTGTTTCTTCCAAACAACTCAACTTTGGTTTCATCTGTCCACAGAATATTTTGCCAGTACTGCTGTGGAACATCCAGGTGCTCTTGTGTAAACTGTAAACGTGCAGCAATGTTTTGTTTGGACAGCAGTGGCTAACTCTGTGGTATCCTCCCATGAAATCCATTCTTGTTTAGTGTTTTACGTATTGTAGATTCACTAACAGGGATGTTAGCATTTGCCAGCGACTTTTGAAAGTCTTTAGCTGACACTCTAGGATTCTTCTTCACCTCACTGAGCAGTCTGCGCTGTGCTCTTGCAGTCATCTTTACAGGACGGCCACTCCTAGGGAGAGTAGCAGCAGTGCTGAACTTTCTTCATTTATAGACAATTTATCTTACCGTGGACTGATGATCAGCAAGGCTTTTGGAGATACTTTTATAACCCTTTCCAGCTTTATGCACTCTCGTAGGTCTTCTGAGAGTTCTTTTGTGCGAGGCATCATTCACATCAGGCAATGTTTCTTGTGAAAAGCAAACCCAGAACTGGTGTATGTTTTTTATAGCCAACCAACACCTCCAATCTCATCTCATCTCATTGATTGGACTCTAGTTGGCTGACATCTCACTCCAATTAGCTCTTGGACATGACAGTCTAGGGGTTCACATACTTTTTCCACCTGCCATGTGAATGTTTGCATGGTGTGTTCAATAAAAACATGGCAACATTTCATACTTTGTAGTTTAAGCAGACTGTGATTGTCTATTGATGATCAGGTCACATTTTATGACCAATTTGTGCAGAAATCCATATCATTCCAAACGGTTCACATAATTTTTCTTGCAACTGTAACACTGTCTGCCAATCAGTAATTCACCATTCACAAAACAGAGTAAGAAAGGTACAGTGAAGGTAGCAGAGGTTACTGGCTCCAGCAACGTTCAGTAAGCCAGTGCCTGGGACCTTCTTGAAAAATAATGTCATTTTGATGAGGTTGTTATTGTGCCCTGAGTGTCTCTATAATAACATTTTGTTACCTTCGCATTGGCAGATGGAATTAATTGATAGTGGAAGGCTGTTATTAGCTTTTGTGTTCATTGTTATAAAGTACCGGGAGCCGGTGATTTCTGTTTTCCTATAGAGAAGTTGAATTTGGTAAATGTTTATCATACATAAAGCAGGATTCTGCTACTTAAATGCCTCATTTCTGTTTTCTCTGGGATCTCCTTGTAATATGTTCTAACCTTTCCTTTTGTCCTCAGTTGTGCTGAGATCACTGATGTCACTCCAAACACGATCACAGTATGCTGTAACGGGATGACAGGTCGGTTCGTCACGGTGATTAAACCCAGTTCGGACTACATGACACTTTGTGAAGTTCAAGTATTTCGCTATATAAAGCAAGAATCCCTCCCGCGCGAAGAAGAAGAAATAAAGCCAGAGTCTTATGAATAAAAGACAAACGGCAAGAAATAAATGCACCGAAATGAGTGCCATCTACTGAGTCTTGTGTATTTTTTTGTATTTAAAAAATGGATAGCTAGGAAATGATTACTTATCTGATATTAAATGACAGGAGTTTCCTTCCTTGGTCAATGGCAGATGATGGATTTTGGCCGGGTTATTGTAAAGGTGTAAGTTCAGTAGTTTGGTAGACTTGGAATTATTAAGGCAGCGTACTCTGTATTAGCACGTGCAAAATGAAAATCATTTGAGAATGTCCATTACAAACAAATGTGATTGGTCCAAGTCGATTATTCAGAAAAAAAATGTTGTTTCATTCTTTTTGGCATTTGATCATGTTGAATTTTGGTTTAGAAAAATTTCGTTCATTCAGCCGTCTTGGGAAAGACCATTCGGACAAACCAAAATGGTCTAAAAATATGCCAAATCAGTGTACTGCAAATATATAAATAATAATAAAAAAAATATATATATCATATGTTTGGCAGTACACTGATAGCAGCATCTACAAAACATTTGGTTCCCAGGTCAACAGAGGGGAAAAAAGGAAGGGAGTAAAAAGATTCTATGTAGATATATATATATATATATATATATATATATATATATATATATATTTGTGTACGGCACATTACGAGGACGTAAGGCTATGATAGTAAAAGAAGCAGTATAAGAAGTAGCAAGTCAGTTGAGGTGTGCTGAAACTGAGGTGAGGTTAGGCCTGTAAAATAGGGCCCACCTAGTATAAATGTAAATGAATTGAGGGTGCGATAGGAGGGGCACTTCCGGGAACGTCGATGACAGGTAAGCTGGGTTTGTAGTGGTTTATATATAGGGAAAAATGTACCTCCCACAATTCCAGGCTAAGCCTTCTATTTGTGTACGGCACATTACGAGGACGTAAGGCAATGATAGCAAAAGAAGCAGTATAAGAAGTAGCAAGTCAGTTGAGGTGTGCCGAAACTGACGTGAGGTTAGGCCTGTAAAAGAGGGCAAAATTATTTAGGAGCGATACTCAAAATACATATAAGTTTATTTATTTAAATACAAACATTATTTAGACATGTCTTGGAAAGCCATTCATATTTCTTTTTCAGGGTTAGGAATTGTATGCAGATGATTTCTATCTTCCCATGTTTTTTTATGATGTGTGTAGGTACTTGGTTACCTGAGGCAGCTGAAGCTGCACCAATGCGAAAGGAATGACCTGTGAAAGCGTTTGGGTTATGTCCTAGCCGAAACAATAATGTGCGGATGTAATACATAAATTGTTTGGTGGTTAGGGGTTTACCTTGAATAGCTAACAGTGGACAACCCGGTTGGGAAGTGATTTGGGACATCAGTAGTTTATCTAAAACTAGGATAGGACACCATTTGGTAGAGGTAGGATAGTATTTAATTTCTACCGGAGGGCATGTTTGGCTCGTCTTGGAATGGGTAATGGATAAGATGTAGTGGTCTTGTTTTTTGATTAGGTGTTTCTTTTGGAGGCAAAGCTTAGAATCGGTTGTTTTTTCCACTGAAAATTCGTTGGGTCTCAAAAACCCATAGAAAGCTAAGTAAGCTGCTGATTTTATAATTAGAGTTGTGACGTGTTCAAAAGGGACGTGTCGAGGATATCGGAGATACTTTAAAAGAGTTTACTGTCTATGGGAAGTCTCTTGATGGGAATATGTGTTGATCATCTGTGCACGTCTCTTAAGACACTTTTAACTGGGTAGGAGGTTAGGAATGGAGATTTGTTGGGATGGCTGGTTAATGTGTAGTGTTGAATGCCTGTTAAGTAGAGTTTGATAGTGTTGTAGGCTAATTTAAGAGAAATATGGCAAAAGTTGTAAATGCAACAATAGTTTCAACAGAAAAAGCATTTATTATGTGATAATCACGAACAAAATCCTTAAACAACTTGTAAGCTCTAGAGTAGGCTTTCCTTGTGTTAGTGGACAAGCCTGCTTGTGTGAGCTATCTACTTTGCTGTAACAGAGAACTTAAAGCATGATTAGTTCTGTGAAGCTTGGAGATGCCCTGGGTTGCGGGTTTGCTGATGGGTGAAACTTGAAAAAAGCCTGCAAATTCAAGCGTGAGAGAGCATCAGCAGCGTTACTTTGAACACCTGGAACGTGAAAACATGTAATGCAGAATTGCAGGTTAGCCGCTAGCCAGGTCAGTCGCCTTATTAATTTCATAATCGTTAGGGACTGAGAGCGACCTTTGTTAACTATATCACAGGTGGCTATGTTATCCGAAAAGCATCTGACTGACTGTCCACTCCATTCTTTACCCCAGACGTGTGCAGCTGCCACTATGGGATAAATCTCGAATAGAGCAGAGGTGGTATTGAAACTGTCGAGTGAGATGGTCTCAACTGGCCAGGAGTCATATAGCCATTCATTCCCGAAAATAGCTGCATACCCTAATGCCCCTGAAGCATCGGTCCAGATTACGGTGGAATCGTCAGAAATAGGTGGAACAAATAGCGACCTGCCATTCCAAGATGATAGGAACAGCTGCCACATTTGTAGATCAGTTCTAGCTGACTCGTTCAGGGAAGTAGTGGAGTCGTCGTCGGGGAGGCCGTGTAATAGTGAGAGGATTCTGGATATGAAAGACCTTCCCTGAGGAATTATTCTCATAGCAAAATTTAGTGAACCGAGTAGTGATTGTAGTTGTTTCCTTATGCAAGTGCCTTGTGACGTGCAAGTGTTTATGTATGAAAGTATCCGGTCTACTTTCTCTTGAGGCAGGCTGGCTTGCATAGAAACTGAATTAAGTGTAATACCCAGGAATGTAATCACCGTGTTGGGACCTTCAGTTTTGTCTTGTGCAACGGGGACTCCTAAGTCTTTGAAAAGAGTGAGCATGTGCTTAAGGCTGTGGGGTGTGTGCTGGTGGGGTTCGATAGTGAGGAAGTCGTCTAGGTAATGAATGACTACTGGACATCTGCAGGAGTTGAGTAGGAGCCAGGTTAAAGTTTCAGCAAAGATATCGAACAATTTAGGGCTACTTTTGGAGCCGAAGGTGAGTCTTGTAGCAAAATAGTAGCTTCCTTCCCACTTAATTCCATGCAGATGCCAGAGTGACTGGTGGATGGGAAGCAGTTTAAATGCGTTTGTGATATCGGACTTGCATAGCCAAGCAGCCTTCCCGGCATGAATGATTGCTTGGATGGCATCGTCAATTCTGGCGTATTGTAGGGAAAAGTCACCTGATGGGATCAGAGCATTTAGGCTGGGTGTAGGGGATGAGTGTGGTGCAGAGAAGTCGATAATCAGTCGCTTTTTATTGTTATATTTACCTCTGGCGATTCCTAGTGGGTTTGTCCTCCAGGAAGTGAAAGGAGTAGTGAAAGGGCCTATCATAAAACCATTTGTGACTTCTTTCTGTAATAGTTCGCGTATGGTGTCTGGGTCTGTGAGTGCCGACTGTAAGTTGGGGCATTCTAAGACCCCTGTGGGGAGTGACACAAACCCTGTGTGGAACCCATTAGTGAGAAATTCAACCAAATGAACAGAAGGATGATTAGACAGGTAGCATTGCAACTTAGGTACGTTTATTGGTGTGGAGGATTTGTTAGGGTACAGTCTGTTGGGGCACATTGTTTTGGCATGTGCTCTAAAACACATAGAGCATACGTGCAACCTCCTATATTAAAATTGTTGGAGACTTGTGCTCTATCTAGAAAAACAATAGGCCTACCAAGTTTGTGTCTCACTTCCCTCTGTGATGTATTTGATTGGTATTCGGTATTGGCGCTACTGGTAGAAGAGGATGCTAGGTTTTCAGGACAGAAGTTTACCGAATGAGCTGCAGAAGAGCATATAGCGCAGGAAGGGGTTGTAAGGCCTGCAAAATGCATCAGAAATAATTCTGTGTCTAGCTGTGCCCAATCGGTAACCGTATTATACTGGGAGAGAGATGCAGCGGATCTGGAAGAAAAAGACTTATGATAGTCATAAAATGCATAGCCGCCGTACTTGTATGCTAATTCAACCACCTTATGCAGATATAAGTCAAGTTCCTCTCTACGGAGTGGGAAAGCTGTACAAATCACATCTCTGTACAATCCGAATGCGATGACAAATTCGGGAATATTGAGCTTCCTATTTAGTCTAGGGTCTCTAGACTTCATCACTACTGACAGATCCTCGAAGGTATAGGCTCTGTTTTCTACCACGTCTTGAGCTGCAATCAGTAGTGATGCTAAATTTATGTCTTTCCCCTCTATAATGTCCCATCTTAGAGCCTGAGGAATGAGATGGATGGGGTTAATGATATTAGTAACTCTACTAGCTGGTGGAGGGTTATCTTTACCTCCTGAGTTAGTGGTAGGCTGAGTAACTGGCACTGGAATCTCTGGAATGGTAGTGATACTGTTTGACTCCAGACTATCCAATCTATTATTAATAGTTGCTACTGAGGAAATGAGGGAGGCCATCATGTTGTGTAATTCTGCCAGGCTATTCTGCACATTGAAATCAGAACTGGGGCCTGGCCTTTCGTTGTCCTCAGTAATATTTAACAACCTAAACAGTTCGGCTTTCCTGGCTGTCGCTGGGAAAGGAATATTCCTCTTTTTAAGTTCAGAGGTGATCTTAGGGATAGTCCAGGAACGATAGCTGGAAGCTGGACTGGTTCGTCTCTGTGAGCCTGATCTTAGTGGGGTGCTGGCCACCGACAGATCATCTCCTTGTGTAGATTCGTTAGACATGCTACGGAAGTGAGGTAGATGGGTAAGGTTAGTATGGTACCATATAGAATGGTAGTGACCCAGCTTACTAGGCTAGTGCCTACTGGCAAAATTGTATTAACTAGCTTAGGTTGGTGACAGGTGAAGCCCTGACTACTTGCCAAGTGGCTATGAGAGGCTCTACCTATGATTTGGCTTGTGGGGCCTTTGTGCCACTGAGGTGGGTGGCGGGGTGTTGGCCTCTCGGTGACGCTTAACAGAGTTTAATAACGATTGGCCGTGACTGGTGAGGCCCTAACTAAGAGTTGGTGCAAGGCTCTAACTATGAACTGGGACGATTGGAGCGAACCTCCGATAGTATGCCTTGCGGGACCCGATAGTATGCCTTGCGGGACCACTTGACTGCTAGGCGAAGAAGCCGAAGGGATTTTACCTAACTTGACGAGAGTATTTAAACGCTACTGGTACCTCGTCTGGGTTTGACCGGTATACATACCTGATAAATGACTTGTCTGATATATACTGAAGCTGAGAACAATCCTTATTTGAACCTAAAACATTTACAAAATTTAAATTACCACCTAACCCTGGGAGCAGCCGTAATATTTGACTATCCTTTAACCACAAGGTTGTATACTAACCGTAAGTGTTGAAATGATTTAAGGAGATTTGGCGGGTGATAGCCTGGAACTCTAACAACGTAGAAGTTGCTTTTAATCAAAGATCCGCTTGTACGTTGTGTCTTATACAGTGTTTCTTAACAGAGAGGAGAAATAACATATAAAACAATGTCATTTAACCAGATTGGTTACGTTGCCTTTGAGACCGTATGGTAGCCCAGGAATGAGAATAACCCCCATGATGGCATATCGTTTGCAATAGTAGACAACCCAAGGTATTGCAAATGGGGTATGTCCAGTCTTCTTTAGTAGCCACTTGGTCGCAAACACTGGCCAAAATTGGCGTTCAAATTAGTTTTTTGCATTTTTCACACACAAACAAATATTAGTGTTAATATTTGTTTGTGTGTGAAAAATGAAAAAAACTAATTTGAACGCCAATTTTGGCCAGTGCTTGTGACTAAGTGGTTACTATAAAAGACTGGACATACTCCATTTGCAATACCTTGGATTGTCTACTATTTCAAATGGTATGCCATCATGGGGGTAATTTTCATTCCTGGGCTAATATACGGTCTCAAACAACGTAACCAATCTGGCAAATTTCAATGCGAAAAACTGAAACACAAGCCTTATATTTGACTCTGTAACTTTTGAAAACACCATAAAACCTATACATGAGGGGTACTGTTATACTCAGGAGACTTCGCTGAACACAAATATTAAAAATGTCACTACCACTGACAATATCATCGTTTAATACATTTTACTGTTTTGAAACACTAATATTTGTGTTCAGCGAAGTCTCCCAGTAGAACAGTACCCCCCCATGAACAGGTTTTATGGTGTCTTGGAAAGTTATAGGATTAAATATAGCGCTAGCAAATTAAATTCCCTGGACTTTCGGCCTGGGTTGTCAGGTAGGTTCCGCAAATTGTAATGAATAAAATGACCTAATTATGTAAAATTATTACATAAATATATACGTAGAATCATTATATATATGTATATAATTTTTTAAAACAATTATTTAAATATAGATATATATATATATATATATACGTATATACAGATATATATTATTTAGTTCTAGGTGTATTTTGATATCAATATATACATGTTAATTTTAAAATACAATTAGAACGAAATTACACATATTTTAATTATCTATTAATTTTTTTAACGTATTTACATATTTTATATTATATATAATGATAATTATATATTTAATCAATATCATTCTACGTGTATTTTGATAAGATATATATAATTATATATATTAATTTTAAAATACACTTAGACAGTATGTTTGTGTGTATATATATATATATACACACTTAGATCATATATATAATATATGATCCAAGTATATATAATGTAATTTTACACTTTTTAAAAGTGTCATTACAGGCACTCCCCCTGCTGGCATTGCTGTGGATGGCTATGCCATCCATGTGATTGTGAGCTTTCTGGGATGCCAGGTGAATCCCCCCACCGCGATCGCCGGCAACTGGGTAAATACATAGGACGGCGGGGACATTCTATGCCGCTCGCCGGCATTTAGAGCTGGGATCCCAAGGACGGCATAGAACGCCCACCGTCCTTAACCCCTTAAGGACCAAACTTCTGGAATAAAAGGGAATCATGACATGTCACACATGTCATGTGTCCTTAACCCCTTAAGGACGCAGCCAAATGTACACATTGTGAACAAAACAAAATGTAAACAAAACCTGGCATTTGCGCTACATGTCTGTCCAACCGTAATACACCTCTTTCATAGTAAATGCACCTACCCTTATTATATATCATTTTATTCAGGGGAAACAGGGCTTTCATTTAATATCAAATATTTAGCTATGAAACATAATTTAATATGAAAAAAATGGGAGAAAATACGTTTTTTTTGGATTTTTTTAGTTCTACATGACATTTTAACGGTCAATGTCATTATACTGTTTGCTTTTACTGCAATAAAATACACATATTTATATTCAGTAAAGTCTCACGTGTAAGACAGTACCCCCTATGTACAGGTTTTATGGCGTTTTGGGAAGTTACAGGGTCAAATATAGCACGTTACATTTGAAATTGAAATTTGCCAGATTGGTTACGTTACCTTTGAGACTGTATAGTAGCCCGGGAATGAAATTTACACCCATAATGGCATACCATTTGCAATAGTAGACAACCCAAGGTATTGCAAATGGGGAATGTCCAGTCTTTTTTAGTAGCCATTTGGTCACAAACACTGGCCAAAGTTAGCGTTAGTATTTGTTTGTGTGTGAAAAATGCAAAAATGCCAATTTTGGCCAGTGTTTGTGACTAAGTGGCTACTAAAAAAGACTGGACATACCCCATTTGCAATACCTTGGGTTGTTTACTATTGCAAATGGTATGCCATCATAGGGGTAATTTTCATTCTTGGGCTACCATAGGGTCTCAATGGCAACGTAACCAATCTGGTGATTTTTAATGTGAAAAAACTGAAACACAAGCCTTATATTTGACGCTGTAACTTTTGAAAACACCATAAAACCTGTACATGAGGGGTACTGTTGTACTCGGGAGACTTCATTGAACACAAATATTTGTGTTTCAAAACAGTAAAAAGTATCACAGCAATAATATTGTCCGTGTAATGCTGTTTGTGCGTGAAAAATGCAAAAAACTTCACTTTTACTGGCGATATCATCGTTGTAATACATTTTACTATTTTGAAACACTAATATTTGTGTTCAGCGAAGTCTCCCGAGTAGAACAGTACCCCCCATGTACAGGTTTTATGGTGTCTCGGAAAGTTATACGGTTAAATATAGTGCTAGCAAATTAAATTCCCTTTACTTTCGGCATGGGTTGTCAGGCAGGTCCTGCTAATTGTAATTAATTAAGATACCTAATTATGTAAAAATATTACATAAATATATATGTAGAATATATGTATATATATACGTATGTGTATATATATGTATATATCTATATAATTTTTTTTAAATATTTTTATTTATATATATGTATATATATAGTGATATATACGTATATATTTATGTATATAGATATATATTATTTCGTTCTACGTGTATTTTGATATATATATATATATATTAATTTCACAAAACAGTTAGAACGAAATAACACACATCTATATATTTTTTAATTATTTATTTTTAATTATTTTTTAATTTTATTTTTTAACGTATTTACATTTTAATATTTTTTATATTATATATAAATATATATATAACAATAATTATATATATATTTAATCAGTATCGGTCTACGTGTAATTTGATATTAATATATATATATAATTATATATATATTAATAGTAAAATACACCTAGACGGTGTATGTGTGTGTATGTATATGTGTATATATATACTTAGATTATATATATATAATATATATATATGATCTAAGTATATATAATAATTTTTTTTTACACCATTAACTTTTTTTATTTTTATTTTCAGCCAGCAGGGGGACCACCTGTCATTACAGGCAGCCCCCCTGCCGGCAATACAGAAGCCAGCTATACCCGGCCATGTGATTGTGGGGTCCCCGCTAGGACCCCACTCTCACATGGCCGGGGGGCTTCAACGAGGACGGATGTGCCGCGGGGGGCTCCCTGGGAGTCCCCCCCACCGCGATCGCCGGCGTGGGACCGCCGGCGACCGGGTAAGTTAACAAAAACCGGAGGGCGTACAATTACGCCCGGCGGCGTTTAGAGCCGCCTATTAGAGGGCGTAATTGTACGTCCTCCGGTTTTAAGGGGTTAAGGGGTTAAAGGACCACTATAGTGCCAGGAAAACATACTTGTTTGCCTGGCTCTATAGGGTCCCCCTCCCGCCAAGCTCTAGGGTCAGGAAGGGGTTAAATTCCTACCTTTTTCCACCGCCGGGCTCCCTCGGCGCTGGGCAATCTCCTCCTTCTGCCGCACGCGCATTCAGCCAGTCTCATAGGAAAGCATTCTCAAAGTGGTTTAGGAAATCCACTGACACATACTTCTCAAGTGTCCCTATTTAGGAGGAACAGTCCCTATGTGCACAGAATCTCTATAAATATTATCTGCAAATATTTATCCTCAAAGTTCCTGCTCTACAATGTGAATGGGCAGCACATGAAACAAACCTCGTTAGATTTCTCATGTTTGTTTTGAGAAATTTTCAACTAATAATGTATATCACTAGTTGAAGGCATTGGCAGATGTTTGTAATCTGCATTTGCCATGATGTTCCTTTGTCGTGGGTACCAAACGTCAATGAGCTGGTGTAGAATGTGAGCAGGAAGCAGTGACCCCCAACCAATAAACCACGATTCGCTGATCAACGCAGAACACATACAGGCAGATTCAGAATGTTCTATACAAATAATGTTTTAATTTCATTTTTTCTATTTTCCAAGGATATTGTAGCGTACTCACCCCAGAGATACGACTTCTTACAGACAGTCAGAGCAGTAAAAAGAGGTACAGCCATTTCCATCTTTATTCTGGGCGATAACTGCGACAATTGCTCTGTTCCTCAGTACGAGCGTCAGACCAAACAATACATGATAACCAAAGGACGTGGGTACAATTGTCCATTATGACACAAAATTCAACCTTTTTACAATTATTCAAATTTTTTTTTAATAAATAAAAGTTATAAAAATTAAATTAAATAGATCTGTTAAAACAAGAAAAAAAAAATCAACACGTATACAAGGACTAAAAAAATCAAAACTCTATTAAATGTACAATGTTCAGTTACCTTACATTAAAAAAATCATGTAAACAAGTCCGAATCGCTATGTGCACAATGTACTAAAGCTGGTGGATGCCAGATGACATAAATGGGTTTAATATATATATATATATGGTATAGTGACAGACCCCACCCACCGATCCAGTTCGGTATATATATATATATAGTAGTATTTCAAGCCCACTGCTCACAATGCAGTTTGTAAAAGAGTAGAAATGGTGAGATTGGAGTAGTCTGGGTGTATAAATGTATACAACGTACATATCATATATAGAACCATTGAATCGTTCATGCACTAATGAGCTCGGGAACGTACAAATCAGTCACAATGTGACAATCTTTGTCATTCACCGACTGTGGCGTCTGTGTCACCCAAAATACATCACAAAGTGGCTGCTAATATGATGACTAGCATTTATGGCAACTGTTTGTTAATTCATGACTTTCGACTGCTTAATGGATAGAAATAAATAAAACTGGTTTTTAGGTACTTTTCTTCGGGACTTCGGAACACTCCAAATATATTAGTTGAAATAAAAGATATATATGTATATAGGTTTCATCTGTTCAGATTAAATGGGCTGTAACCTGATATTTTATCTCCATAAATGAATTCAATGCAGCTCACAGATAAATAACATTAACCAAGTACAGCGAGTCTACCTGTAATTATGCCTTTTGTTAGCGTAACAGCATGTGACATCAACAACCAATCAGAACCTGC